ATTATCAATACAAAATAGCTGATGTGTTGAATGGCTTGCTTCCCATCGCATCTTACTAAGTCATCAAAGCTAGATCAGTATTTAGAAATCCTAGAGCCAAGAATGTCATAAATCATCATGAGCAAGCCATCCCACCCCTACGCTCATAATTTTGCAAGGAGAACATAACACTCGTCTATTTTCTGAGTTATAACTGCCATAACATGCTGCCTTACAAACTGTAACATAAACAATTCTTGCTCAATAAAATTATATCTATACCCAATGTCTTTCGGCATTTCAAGCAAAGCAAGTACGCTAGCAAACTTAATGAACCAGCTGAAATCAAAACCCAAATACATGCCCATGACTTCTATTGCAGCGCTTGCCCAATCTAGTTCTGTCCCAAAATAACAACCCAATGCCTGCTTCAACTAGCTCTGAGCAACATCCTATTACCCACATGGGTCTAGAGCCTCCATTAGTGCCTAATGCCACCTCACCAATCTATGAGATCTCCCTCACACCACTGGCAACACACATTACACATGAATGAGCTATCATTTTTTGTGTTAAAATCAGAATCATAATCTTACTCCTGTAATTATTCTATTAATTATTTCCATCCCTGATTTAAGTCTCTAACTTTGCCGCATTCCTATTAGAAATGTTCCTGATATTGTATAAAACACACGTTGGAGTAATACACACTCAACAATTCTCTAATTCTTATCAGGGTATCATAGCAGCAGGAAAATTTTGCCAAGTGTCAGTTCCTCTTTCATTCCTTCTGTTTTTTGAAGTAGAAACCTCCACCACCCACCCCACCTTTTTTTTATACTTTTTTTTGCTACCGCGAACACACTCCTACCATGATTTCTCTCTCCCTAAACACCAATATTAATGCTCAAATTCCCTTTTATCTCAGGTTCCCTTAGTACTGAGAGATGCAATATGAATCCAACAGGATAGTTGCAAAACATCCATTCAACATACTTGTTGAATCAAAAGAACCATCCACAGTTGTTGCAATTGGTTCACACGTTCTAGAAGAGAGGAGGGAAATCAAACCATTTACGTGGCACCACACATGCAAAGTGATCCCACGTTTAAAGTTTGGGAATGACCGTGACTTTGGTGATGTCCTGGATATGAAAGTCTATGATTCAAGAGATAAAAGATATATGCATGTTCCTCCATTCAGCCAAGTAAATATGAGATATGTTAAATCAAATGTATTTTAAAGTTCATGATGGTACAGTAATCTGTAAGTTGTTTTGAATATGAGAATAATCCAAAAAATGCACTAAATTGCACAATGTAAGAACTTATCACAGCCTAGGTGAACATAGCAGACAAAATAAACATAACAAAATACTCTACAAGTGGATTGAAAAGAAATCTTGTAAGATATAAAAAGAAGAATGGAGTAGCACCTCCCATATCAGCAGAAGACAATTCATTATTTAGCAGTTAGTGAGAACGGAATCACCTCATAAATGTTAGGAAACATGCATGAGAAACATAATATCCAAGCAACATTAATAAGATGTAGGTGCTTACACTTAACAACTCCATTTTGTTGAGAAGCATATAATCATGATGATTAATGTATAATATTATTCTCATCATAAAAGGAGACAAAATGAGATTGCATATATTATCAGTGCAAAGTGCATTAATTTGAACGAAAAAGTACACTTTTATTTCTTAATATAATACATTGAACACCCCTCTTCTAACCGACACTTGAAAAAGTAAATCCAAATAACCATAGTGTGGTCATCAATGAAGGAAATAAAATATTAAAAACACAAATGAGCCGTTATAGGACTTGGTCCTCAAGTATCAGAATATAGCAAGTTAAAAAGTACATTACAACCTGAAAAGAATGACGAGGGAAAGGATGCACGATGAGAAAAATATTTTAGTGTATCTTATTTATTACAAAAACATCATAATATATCTAATAAGAGGTGAATATAATATTCAAGGGTATGCCCAATTAACATTTACCACCTACCAAATATTGATTATTTCCAAATAGGATATTTTCTCGAGATAATATGGGTCAAGCAATACATAGCCTTGGTTGCCACCTATCATGGTTGAGCAAAGTTCAAGGGCAAGTGACTCACATAATGGACTAGTGATGAACGATGTCGAAAGCTCTCACATCAGAGGATGATTTACATATGAGCATTGAATTTATTTAGAAACGCCGTGTGGTTCTCTCACTTGTAGGCATAAGCTTTTGGCTTGACAAATGGCTTTGACCAATAGTATATCTAACCTAACTTTGGATCCTCTTTAATTCACATTCCCAAACACCTCTTAATAAAGGGAGAAGTTATATGGACCAAAACTCCACCAACACTCAGCCAACACCCATAGCCCGCATAACCAAATTGCTGCTATTAGGAATGATAAACCCTATTATTGTGACTCCTGTCTCAATCCAAGTCTTCTTAACATTATCCACCATTTTTGAAGTTGTCTTGACCTCCTCATTCAGCATCCAAGTCCTCAGTTCATACATGCTTGGAAATTGTAGTCCTCTTCCATAGCTTCCAACAGATCGTAACATATTAATCCATGACGGACTCCTAACAACATTAAATGGAATCCCATTTTCATAGATGAATCTAGCGATATCCAAACAAACCCTATTCCTGAGTTCTTTTGTAGCAGTAGAAGGCTGAAGATCCTGAGTGTTTATGTTATCCTCGTCATCAATATTTATCATAAATCTATCCATAAGACCTCGAGTGCCTCGGTTAAAAGAAACTAGATGGCTTCCACTACTGGAACCTTCATGTTGTGATCCATAATAAGAAGAGTTTCCTATCATCTCTTCCATATTTCTTTGTGTAACCTCCTTTGTGGTGGCAAACTGATGCGGGCAAAAGATATAGGGAGCCTATACCCTTCGCCCACAAAAGAGACACGACGGACTTCTAACGACGAAAATGACTAAGGACGAGAAAATGGACGAACAATAGGGAAGAACAAACTCTTACATTTCAATTTAAACTAAACAAGTAAAAAAAACTATGACGACGACTTACAAACAACACGACAGACACCTAAAGTTGCTGCACTTTGAAAAGAAGGATACAGGTGGAGCGGCACTTGCGAAGAGACGAAGAGACTAGAAGCCCGAGAAGAAAGGGTGGAAAGAGCCCGCAGGATTTCCGGAGAGAATGAGAAAAGAAGGTTGGAAAAAGCCCGCAGGATTTCCGAGCAACCCGCAGGTTAAGCTCATAAATGAACTAAAAGTTTAGCTCAAATATGATGAACTACTAGACTCAAGGGAAGCCAAAATATGATTTATTTTGGACTAGTGTTGACCCCCCCCCTTTGTCTACATCACAAACTTCTTTAAATAATCTGTGCATTCCTTTTTCACCTCACAGGTACTTTTGCACATGGTCCCACATTGACATGAGTACAGGCTAGATGATCCTTCAACCTCTTAACGCCATCAGTTAAGCGTTTCTCACAGAAATTACATTTCATGTAAACATATCCCTTCTTTGCACCTTAGCCAAACACTTCAACTTGAGTTCCATATTTCTATGCATGATCTTTCCTTCTTGTACCACTAGTCATGCTAATAATAGGACAGATGTTAACAATTATTTGTACAACCAAATACAATAATAAAACAACATGAATACAAAAATGTACCAGTCTGCCGGGGGTCCATGGGGGCGCTGCCCCTTGGCGGGGTTCGACCGAGCATGTACCGCTCAGTACCGAGCATGTACCGCTTGGTACCGAGCATGTACCGCTCAGTACCGAGCATATACTGCTCGGTACCGAGCGTGTACCTAGTGGTACCAAGCATGTACCGCTCAGTACCGAGCGGTGGTGGCTCGGTACCGAGTATGTACCTAGCAGTACCGAGCATGTATTGAGCAGTACCGAGCATGTACTGAGCAGTACCGAGCATGTACTGAGCGGTACCGAGCATGTACTGAGCGGACGAACGAAAGAAAGCCGAATCAGGAGTTATTCAAGCTTTCTTTACTATACCTCAAAGTTAAGGCCACAACACCGCTCACCTGCTCTTCCGACCTAACCGAGGCCTGAACGTTTCCTGCACTCACAATTTCGGCTTCGTTTCCTGCTTTCGAAACCATTATTGCTTTTGGATTCGTTTCATGCGTCGTCTCCTTCTGACTTCGTCTCCTGCACTCACGGCTTCGTCTCTTTCCCTCACGGCTTCGCCTCTAGTTCTCCTTTCAATTTTCACAGGAAGCCCTAATCCTATACGCGAATACACAAACACGAATCGGCTGCGTCGTATTTATATCGGCTGCGTCGTATTTATATATATACCGAAGAAAAAATTTCGAGGCAGTGCCTCATACTTCCTCGAGGCGTTACGCTCTAATGCGTACGCCTTGTGCGAAAAAATCGTAGGCTTCGCCGGATGGTTCGAGGCGTAAGCCCTGATACGCATGACTTCCGCCTCGACTTGAGGCGCGACTCAATGCGGACGCCTCGTCTGCTTTTTTAATGGTTGGTCCATTGGATCAATTTATGCAACAAATTTTATTGCATGTAAATTTTTTTTATAAATATGGGACCTAAGTGCTAATCATGTTAAAACATGAATTAAATCCAACCCCAAAAATTAAAATTAAAGCTATGTTTATATAAACAAACGAATTATAAGCCAACACTTTCCCGAGCATGAGCCAGTAAGTCACAATGATTTCGGATCAACTAAAAGATGAATGAATTTAAAAAACTACTAGAGTATGGTGTATCGAGTCAAGGCATGTCTCACAATGTTATATAATCATGACTTACTAAATATCATGAAATGTTTACAGGAAAACAATTAAGCTGCAGCAATTAACATGCATCTTTTCAAAGAAAAATCTTCTACCTGGATTAAAGTCTGGGCTAAAAGTAAAACCTTACTGTGTGCAAAACATAAACCGCCTAAATTTTTACACAATCTTAACTAACATACTCATTTATCCAAACAAATAGAATAGATTGAAAACCTGTAAACTTGGTCTTCGAGCAGACAAGCGTCCCGTTTCTGTATTGATGTTTAAAGAGCAATGAATACGCCCACTCTTACCTGATATGTGAGTTCCCTGCAACACAAAAATATTTAAATAAATAAATAATATGTATAACACCGGATTCAAGATGAAAATCAAGACTAGCAGATGCATCTTCCTAAGAAAAAAATGAATAAAATGGTAATGCCCGTTCACATTTCGCATTTTGTTACTTTGAACCATGACAACTCTGTCCACATGTTGACATAAGATTTGATTCAAATATTTGCATTATTTTAGTTTGTTTAAACATTCATTGCATTAAAAACCTTACCAACTGTACCCCCATATATAGAGGATTGGTTTTGTAATTGAGACTTATTATTATACTTTCTAAGTAAGGCCTCAAGAGTTTCCATTTTTAAAAAAGCTTTCCTTTATGAGTTTCCATTTTTAAAAAAGCTTTCCTTTACTAAAGGCTCGAAGGCCTCATACAAACAGGAGGCAGAAGTCTTATAAACTCTAAACTTCAGCGCACCAAGGATCAAACTTGAAATATGAGTTCAAACCCTATCCTATAAATGGAGCAGCCAACTCTAGAGTGCCTTGCAATAATATAATAATATGTTTAAATTGGAAAGGAATGTTTCGTAGATTTGAAAATGATAGTCCGCTTTTCAAATTGATAGCATGATTCATGAAGTAAAGCAAGTTTAAATTTATCTTGTTTTCCGTCTGCTCAACATTCTTAAACATTATATTCATAAATTTAACATGATTATCAGAGCACATGCGAATGAGTTTCATTTTTAATCTCCTTCACATGTTTTGATGCAAATGTATAATGCACTTGCATGATAAGCTTGCACATTTTTAATGCATTTGCATGACGCACTGCACAGTTCTTAATACGCATGTCTGATACATTTGCCTGAATCTTGATGTGTTGTATTTGAATTTTTAAGTTTCTTGATGTTGTATACCGGAAAATCAAAATTATTCAAACTTAAATATCTGCAAAATATTTTGTTTTGAGATTTTAAAGACCATCCTATATCCACCTGTGTTTGTGTTACGGATCTAATGGCATGACAACATGAGTTAGAATCTTGTCACATGTTTTGACATGGAACATTTTTTATTTGCATGTGGACCCCACAAGAAATCAATTTTAACCCCAATATAAATAGGAGGGTTTAGTAGTTATTTCATCCTATTCAAGTTAATTTAGACTCTAGTGTGCAAGGTTTGAGCATACAAATAGCAGCAAGAAAGTTCCACTCTTGCTCGTAGTGAGCTTCTAAGTGCATTTTAAGTTCCCTATAAGTCACATTCAAGTTTTATGCTTGCATTCAATTCTTCAGTTCTTCAAACACGACATATATGGTATTCTGAGCATTTTTCTTGTTTAATTTTGTAAAATTACATTTGTTTATTTTCAATTTTTTTACCATGTTAAGCAGTCCAAAAATCACTTTAGATATCTTTTCTAAGTTCTTTGTAAGCTCATCCAATGAAAATTTTGACAACATTCATGCTGGGTTTGCACACCGCACTAAGGTGTGTACGACCAGTGTAAATACTACAGCCAGGTCATCTACTCCCACAATGTCAGGAAAACCATATGTTGTTCTTCACACCACCATGAAAATTTGCGACACATAATTTTCCCTAAACATCAAGAAAGATGCGTATATGTATTATAATTCGCAACCAATCTCCTTCCAAACAGTGTCAAGAATAGCAAATATGGGGCTTCTTCCCACCACGTCAAAAAAGGCGTGTATGGGTCACCTGCACGAGAAATGTACAAGCATGATAAGCTTTCCACCACCACATCAAGAAAGACGCATATGAGTACTTGTGCCAAGATGAGTTGTTTAAGCGATTTATACCTTTACATGCAAGGCGGTATTATCAATGACAAGCAACAACGATACACAATATTTCTCTTTGTTCCTTCTTTCATATCTTATTTTCCTTTTTTATTTTGATTTTTTATTATACATAGTCATAGGGTTGAGAGAAAAAGTGAAGGTAGAGAAATGGGTTACCGGCTTGCAATATAGATGAATAAGGTTCACTTGGTCTCATATTTAGAGTAAATCCAACTAGGTGATTGCTTAAGTTGAAATATCTTCCTCCTTATGGGCAACTTCCTTTACTCAAATCTTTGGGCCCTCAAACATTGCCTAAGTTTGTAGGAGTTGCATTGTTTGCTTGCTAAAACAAGAGATTGGAGATAAAGAATGTGGGGTAAGGAACTTTGAACAGGTAGCACGGCACTAGCAATTGTTGCAACATTTCAAAACCTATCCCCCTCCCCCTCAAACTGCATTGGATCTCCCTGGCGGATTTGTCGTCGAAGTGACAAGTTAGGAGGTGAGGTCAGCATCAATAACAAGTTGAGATTCAAATATATGAAAGATTCTAGATCGTCATTGTTGAAGAAGAGATTGTTGAAATTTGAGATTGATGGTGCATTCATCGAAGGAGGAGAAATAGGCAACGAAGATAGAAGAGTTGTAAACAAATTTGCATAAGCAGGTGGTAGAATGAGGCTCGTCAATAGCTTGGGGACATACTAGGACAATGCTATAAATGGAGCTAGAAGTGTTGTAAACTAGAAGAAATGTTGCAATAAAACTAACGGAACGAAGCTATGTAGATGTTCGACATAGTGAAAAGATGGCTGGTGAAGAACCATAAGGAGCAAAAAATAGCAACATCAAGCTGATAAGTGACCAAAGAAGACACGACTTTATGGGTAGGGTACAAGAGCTAAAAAACACCGACTACATGAACCTTTTTTCATCTTCACACAATGCTAGACCCCATTGATGCCTTGGCCAATAAGCCCAGTGGCATGTCCTCCTTGACAAACAATGGAAACCATCAATGCCTACCAATGAGCTTCTGCATAGTTTATTTGATACATTGGTGGACTCAACATTGCCCATTTCCAGTTAACTCTAACACATCTTCCTTGCCTCTCCAACATTGAGGGGGTGTGTCGGTGAATGGGGAGAATGCTAGAGAGAGATGTGCATGTGATTGCATAAGAGGCAGGGATGCGAGATTTTTTGTTTAGATTGAACGAGAATGCGGCATGATGGGGATGGGGAGATGGGTATGATGCTAATTTAAGCAAGATTTGTGGGGTTTTTTACATGAATTTTCCATTCTTTATTTGATATACTTTTCTAATTTTTGCTTGATTGGTTCACTCAACTTTAAATGGGAGTAAAATTAAAAAAATGTGATAAAATTCTCATAAAATCTTTTATTTCTCGCGGGTCTCTGATGGGACATCTACAGGAGATTCTAGCGCAAGAAGACATTGAAGATCTACGGCAACACTCGCATCTTTTTACCTTTTAATTGATTTATTGTAATTTTATTATTTTAATGTTCTTTTTCGTTTTTACCCTCACTTGAGGGACTAGATGCATGTAACCCCAAGGGGTAATTTGGTCTTTTGTTTTGTTCTTGTAAGGAGGCCTATTTATAGCCTTCTTTTCCCTCTTATGAGGTTAATAAATGATTATTATGAAAAATATTCTGCATCCATGTGTTTGGAGAGAGAGCTTTAGTGCAGTCCCTTGGTGAAGGACAACGAATCACCCACCAACATTGGAAGCGTCCGAGTTCGTGGTTTTATATTTTCCTTCCCTTCTTCCCCTTTCTTTCCCACAACCGCCGGCCTATCACCCACTCCCTTCTCCCTTTGCTCCTCCTCTTGGTCTCCCCTCCATCACCACCTCTAAACCGGCCGACCACCCCTCCCTCTCGCCCAAGCTATCGGTCGTCAAAGCTTCACCCTTCCTCATAGCTACCGGCCTTCCTCCTCCCCACTCAAACAGCCACCGGCCTTCCCCTCCCATGGATCCAAAATCGATTGTTTTGCTTCTTTCCAAAGTAGAGCATGAAGATTAAGAGGGAAATCCAACTCAAAATCTGATTTCATAGTCAGATTTTGAATTCTTTCCTAAATCGACATAATCTATATTAGGAAAGAATTCAATTCTTGGATCTAACTTTAAATTAAAATTAAGAGGAATATTTTGCCCATTAATTCCTCTTAATTTTAGCTGAGACCACCTAAGGAAACCCATCCAATCAATCCCTACTCCAAGAATGCCGCCGGCCCTATTTGCCCCTCCTCCCTTTCTTTCCAAATCTCCCCTAGGGAGAGAATTGAAGACTTACCTAATTTAGATCTTCTTAAATTTGAAAAGATTTTAAATTTCAAATTCAAATTTATTTGAATTAGAATCCTTTCATAAAATAAGATTAATCTAATTTAGACACTTTCCAAATCTCCTCAAATCTGAAATAATGAGAGATCCTCTCTTAATACTCTTTCCTTAATTCACATCTTATGTTTGGAAAGAGTTTCCAATCCCCAATCAATTCCCCCATGCATGGCCGGCCCACCACCTCTCTCCAATTCAATTAACTCCAATAATTACTCCTATTATTTCCCCATCTAATCACAACCTAAGTAGCCGCCCCCTCACAAGCCCTCTCCCACGTTACTTTCTTTTTCCCTGAAATTTCTGCTGCAGTCCACGTATTCCAGCAAGTTTGACTTGCTATCCTGCACCCCTGAAGGCCATAGACTGCTGTCCATAACTCACAACATTTTATAGAAGCTGTCCACATAATTCTCCTCCTCATCCTTCAAGATCTCATGCATCCATTCGGGGAAATCCCTGGAATTCCCTCCTCCAGCTTTGTCCAGATTCCTGGATTGGTTCCATAAGTTATCCCAGGGATAGGAGCCATGATAACTGCTATACTGAGCCTACAGGTTGCTGTCTACATATTCTAGATTATGCTAGTTGGCTGTCCTCCACCCAGAAACTGTCATAATACTGTCCAAATGCCACTAGGGAGTTAGAGTTGCTGTCCACTCTTGCTCACACATTTAAACGATCATACCGGAGCTTCGTAATTCCTATTTCTTTGGATAAACTCTTCCTCCGACTCTCTTATCTTCATAGTTGTTACTCAATTGTGGTCTTAATTGATTCACAAATATAGTGTTAATGTTCCTCCGCTACAGCCTAGTAAATTAGAGAGTTTAGTGAGGGATCCTTGCATAGTAATTTATCTTATTGTTAATCTAGGGATCTCTTGTTGAAAACCATCCATGTCTGCAACGTTAGATTAATTGATTGTTTTACGGTCTTAACTCCTATGAATGTGATTTAGCCTAAGCTTGTTTTATCACCATATTGTTTTATCTTAGCGTTTAAATCAGCATAATTTTTAATTAATATTGTTCTCTAAATATTAAGCATGCAAATTCATTAATCTAATCATCCTTGCATGTACGTTCTACATCAGTCTCTAACTTGTGTCATTAACTCGCACACGAGTAAATTTTTTTGAAATTTTTATCATGTGCTAGCCTAGGCAATATGGGTGTCCTTTTATGTGAGATTAATGTTTCTAACTCGTTAATGCAGTCCACTGTGTGAAATAGGTAAAATGATCATATAAGTTTGATTGTGATCACCATGTTTTGCATCAAATTTGTGCAACACCACATACTACAGTTGTTTTGGCCAAGTTCAATTGAATAGACCCATAGTCTTTTCGTACGTCAATGCACTAGGCATATTGATGTAATTAAACGAGTGATGATTGACTTTTGCTTTAGTTGATGCATTTAGATCACGACTCGCGCAATATTGCGTTCGCAGTCCTAGTCATATTCAATCAATTTGAATTTGGAACAAAAATAAAATTCGAAACTAAAATGCCATTAAATTTATTGTTATGGTATGCAAACTTAGATAAGTTAAATTTCTTGTCTGATGGAAATATTAAACAGATTACACATGCTAAATAATGTAACAAAGTGTGTCAATATTAATAGTTTGATCAACAAAGTTGAGAGTAGTAGACAATGTAAAGAACAATAAGATAAGCACTTAGCAGAATATTTGCATTTTAAAAATCATATACCTAAAACTTAAAGCAGAGAAGAAGTTAAATTTGTAGTGTACTAAAGACAACCCCAACTAAGTTTATCAAGTTAGCATACAGCAAAGTATCCTCAAAAACTTACCTGCAAAGGAAGTATGAAGTTAGATATTAAAGAGTCAATGGAACAAACTTCACAGAGGGCGGCTATAGCATGACAGGCTTCTTTCCCTTCCTTACCCCGTCCAAAAGCATCATAAGCTGTTCCATAAACGGGCTTCTCTCTGGAATGTCGATTAAAATCAGATAGTTCCTCTGCTAACGAATTATGTGCAGTGTCTGGTTCTGATTCGAATCCATCAACCATCAGATTGATGCAGTCTGGGGAAATTTTTCCAGCGAAGGACTTCAAAGCATCACCACTCACTGAGGGCCAACCAGAAGCTGTATAAATTTCTGCTTGCATCTCTTTGCCAAAACATTGCAGAGTAATGTTACGATATTTTGATGGATTCTTCTTTCCATCTTCAGTAATATTATCAGAATTTAGCACTTTGAAGGTCTTGGAGTTAGGTAACTTTTGTTCTTCATCTTTTCTGTAACATTTCAGCCAAAAAAAAGGCTGTCATAAGCAATCAGTTCAATAAAATGAACATGAAAATACCTAAATAAAAAATAAGTAGTGCAGAAGTAAAATAGCAAATAGCAGAATGATATTCAGAAATATAACACAGGAAAACAGCTAGGTGATACACCATTGAGACGATGCATGTCAAATAATGATGATCTAGTAGAAGCTCAAATTAACCTACTGCTGATCTACATGCCACATTCGCCATTTAAAGGCATGCAAGACAAAATCACCAACCATGTCAAGAAACCATTCGCATTGTCAAAATGATGCAAATAGCTTCGGGTAATTTAGTCATATCTCCCTCATTTTCATAAGAAACAACAAAAAATTATTCCGTAAATTCACAAACCAATTCGGTACAACTTTCATTGTCAGCACTTTTGTTGATTTTGATCTCAATAATAAACACAAAATTCTAGATAATTTTGGGCCATCTCCCTCTTTCATCGAAATAGTATGACTTGTAAATATTTGGTTTTGTATTTTGATCCTTAAAAATTATTATGAAAATTATTTGGTTTATTCATATTTCATAAGGAGTGTCACTCAATAATTGAGAATTTAAAAAAAAAAAACTTTTTCAATAATTTAGGTGTCTCTCCCACATCTTTCATCAGAAGCACAAGATATTTGATTTGTTGGAGCTATAACTCAATCCTCTATAACTTTTATAATCACCAGTTGGCTAATTCGGAAATCATGACATCACTCATAAATTAACAATCACTACAACATTTTCAATAATTCGGATGTGATTTCACATCCTATGTCAGCATCATTTTTTTATTTGTTGGATTCATATCTAGACTCATTCATTACAACTTTCATAATCACCGTTTTAGTTTATTCCAATTCCATGCATGCAAATCACTCATAAAGTATAAATGTTTAAAAGATTTTCAAGAATCTTTACAAAAGTTTTTTTTATGATTTATGATTACCCCATCATCTTTTTATCAGAGTCACATTATAGTTTACTTAGCAGGTTTATAATTTGATGTAGGAACATCTTAGCTTTTATTGTGCTTAGGGACTAGTTTACCTTCCTTGCTCTAGAGACTTCTATTTTCCTTTTAAATAGGTCCAATGTAAGGTTTTGAGGATTATTGAATGATATTATCCCCATTAGAAAGCTTTGATATCAAGCTCATCGATCTTCGCAAGCTCCAGGCTCTGATACCAACTGATGTAGTGGATCGTCGGAAGATAATACCTGCAAGAAGGATTTTAGGATTTTCCCAATCCAGGGAAGAAGAACAAGAAGCTTTCAAAGCTTTCTAATGGGGATAATATCATTCAATAATCCTCAAAACCTTACATTGGACCTATTTAAAAGGAAAATAGAAGTCTCTAGAGCAAGGAAGGTAAACTAGTCCCTAAGCACAATAAAAGCTAAGATGTTCCTACATCATTCTCCCCTTGCGTAAAAGGAGCTCGACTCCGTTCGAGGCTCGTTAATTAGAGGGGAAGTAGGGTGGCAAACAAATTCCTGGATCGAAGACTTTGTTCTCAATATTTTCCTCCTATAGAGTGGCCTCTTGGAAGTTCCCAAAACTCATTACTCGAATGCCAATTGCTTTGCAGTCCTCAATGGCTTGGTAAACTTCTTCACGTATAGGATCCCTCAGCCCAACCAAACCGGCAAATATGAGATCACTTTCTATAAAAGCATAATTAGAAGGATCAAGTAGAAACTTATGAGCAGGATGGCCTTCACCGTCATAATTAAAAACGTCAGCAACATCGTCCTTGTAAGCAACTCCCAGACAACGTAAGGCAATCATTGACATCTCGTGAACAGCTTGTAAAATTAGAGATTTAGAACCTTCAGCCAACCTGACAATAGATGTTGCCTCTGAAGGTGTTGATGAGGAACTGTTAGTGATAAACTCTGATACAACACTTTGATATCTTCCAGAGCAATTTGCTACTTGTACTTTATCACAATGAAATGAAATAAAGAAATGTCCATTTTTAGTAAAATTTGGATGAAATGCAAGACCCATCACTCCAAATGCAGTATCAGCATGCACCATATCAGTCAAATCAAGGAAAATATTTGATTCATTCAAATCCAAAGTTCCTCCTGAATTTTGAGTTGGAACACTTGCAAGCCAAATCAAACCTGCTTGATCCGAAGCTGAGGCTGAAAAGAGAGAGTTTGTGCAGAGGAACAACTTAACAACAGAACCATTTAGCATCCCGGCAATAGTCTCTTCACCGGGCAGAACAAAATTAGAACAGGAACCTTCATTGACATTACATCGAATAGTTTGGGTGCATTGTACTGAATCAATTTTGTCAAAAGAATTTAGACAGGGCATGTTCACACCTGCAGTGCAAATATCTTTTGCTTTTCTATGAGGATTTGCCTTCAACTCTTGCATTTCAGCAACTAACATGACAGTTTCTAATAGTTCATCCACATTCTCACCGTTAAGAGCGCTTACCTTGACCATTGGGATGTCACCACCATAATTGACTATGTCTTTGAGCAGTTCTATGTTGTTCTGTTCTGCTGTTGTGCATGCATACTGAGCCATGTCGCCATGGGAGAGGTCTGCGCCATTGTCTATCAGAAGCCTTATTACAGGTTCAGGCTTGCCGAGAACTGCTTCCCATAAAGGAACACTTCCTACTGAATCTAGAACATTGGAGGTCTTGCTGATTTGAGAAGATGCTGGGGCGTGGTCTCTGAGAATCAGATTGAAGGGCTGGGCCGGGGTTTGAGGAGCAAATCCGGCTTCCATATTCGCATCATCTGATGCTGGCTGTTCGCAGGGCTTTGTGCTGGCTGATCTGATCGGACTGGTTGGGGACGGATAGTGTGTAGACTGAAGTGAGTGCGTGTAAATGGAGCATGCTCGGGTGCTGGACTGCAGGTTCGGGTCGCCTGTGAGAGCAGGGATCGAAGGTTGCTTGCTGGAGCGGAGGGAAGCAGTTGGCAGTTCGGGCAACAGGATCTGGTCGCACACGGGAGTGAAGCGAGGCTGGTCGTGCACGGAAACAAAGGTGGAGCCTAATTTGTGCGAGACTGGAGTGGATGTTGTCGGATCGAAAAGTGAACGCAGGGTCGGCGGAGCAAAATCGCGAGAGCTGAGATGGGGATCCGTCTGAGCGGGCCGTAATGGAGGATGGGTATCGAAGGAATTGAGAGGAGCTAAAAGCGGTCCAGTGAGCTGAGCAGAGGCAGAATCGTTAACAATAGTGGCAGCTGTTTCTTCGACTTCCATATCCCGATCGTCATGTCCATCTTTTTCAGTCGAAATAGCCAAATTCTCTTTGATTCTACTGTGCGAATCAAAGGCATGCCGGAAGGAATCGGAAGTGAAATCGGAATAAGCTCTGACGCAGGACATTGGGCGTGCGAGCAGATCTGAACGGCTTTTGGCGTGCTTGAGCGGAGGGAGTTCGCTGAAGACGCCCTCGGGCTGGTTGCGAACTGCGCGAACAGGCGGAGGATCTCGCCATCGCAAAGGAAGCTCGAGCGGTGGGTATTCCGGCGGTGGATCACGCCATTTGAGCGGGAGTTCGAGCGGAGTGTAATCATCAGCGACCGTGGGAGTATGGCGGGACGGATGGCGTCTGCGTGAAGCTGACGAGGGGATCGAAGAAGAAGAATGCCTCGGTATGGTTGCCGATGACATCCTCATCCTCCTTATTGACAGAAGGGTTTCACGAATCCGATCAAGGTTTCTATCTACCTGATCGAGCGACTTCTTCGATTGAGCTTGATAGAAGGCGATCCGGCTTCGAGCATCGTCGACAACCCACCTTCCTTGGCGTCGATCGTCGTCGACCGCCAATCTTGTTTTGCGGCTTCGATCGTCATCGACAGCCGACCTTCTTCTGCAGTCCATCGATCTTCGCAAGCTCCAGGCTCTGATACCAACTGATGTAGTGGATCGTCGGAAGATGATACCTGCAAGAAGGATTTTAGGATTTTCCCAATCCAGGGAAGAAGAACAAGAAGCTTTCAAAGCTTTCTAATGGGGATAATATCATTCAATAATCCTCAAAACCTTACATTGGACCTATTTAAAAGGAAAATAGAAGTCTCTAGAGCAAGGAAGGTAAACTAGTCCCTAAGCACAATAAAAGCTAAGATGTTCCTACATCATAATTTAGTCATAATTTTCATGATCACCATCCGGATTAATTCAAACTTTATGGGGGCTAAATTACACAATGAATTGAGAAACTGAATCTCCTATATTTTTCTTAGTAATTTGTGCATCCCTCCGACATCTTTTATCAAAATCATATAATTTTAAATGGTAGATTTATGGCATTATCTCCAACAAACTTCTTGTTTAACATTTTGGTTGAATCCAACTTTATGTGGTACAACTTACACAAATTTAGTCCATACCCCACAAAATATATAGCATATTATTACAATCTCTCATCAAAATTACATACATTCAATTTGAGGGCTCACAACGGTTTTATTAACAAATTTCATATTCACGACTCAGAAAAAAATTTAGCTCCATGCTAATCAAATTAACATCAGAAATTAAAACATTTTCAAAACACCCCAATTTTATGCAATTCCCTATTCAATTCATGTAGTTTGTTTATCATCCATAAATTAATCTATAACTCGTCCTTCTGGTTTTTTTGGAAAAGGATTTCAGTTTATAAAAGAAGAATGAAACAGAAGGAAACCAATAAAATTTTGAATTTTTGAATTTTAAATCTTTTAAAGATGACAAAACATTGCAGAAATAATATGCAACAAAGCTTTCTAAAATGTGACTCTCAAAAAATCTTTGTACGCGCTTTATTTTATGCTTTTTAGCCTCTATTTTATTGATTGAGGCTCGCGGTTCACAGTTTGCTCCTCATAAAGTAGAAACCCACAGTAACAATCATGCAAGCCTTTTTTGATGTGGTAAGGAGGCAACTTTTGATAATGTAGTGTTATTATAATTTTATTTTTATGCTTGCACGTGTAGGCTAATGCCCATGCATGTCTTTCTTGATACATTAGAAGACCAATGCCTACCTTCCTAGAAAAGGTACGTTATAGACCTATGTGATCCCTTCTTATTATGGTGGGGATTTTTGTTATATTATTCGCATGCATTATGACTTTACCCATGCATGTTAATACCCATACCGGTCTTTCTTGGCATGAACAATATATGCAACAAAAATTGGGGTCATGGCACCTCAGTGGCCACACCCGATTCACCTCTCAAGTGCACACAGACAACTCAAATTACCCTTGAGCTTAAAAATGCTCATAAAATATACATTAAGCAGCCAAATTTATGTATGTTGAACCAAACCCTTCTAAAGTAAACATTAAGGATGTAAGCAACTCAAATCAACAATATCAAATATTTCAAAATCACTAGACTTTCTTGGCCAATTTCAACAACATACAAATAACTTAATCTAGTCGGTACCCGCCTAATCATAACCTAAAGAGGTTGATGATAGGAAACGCATGTAGAAATAGAATAAAACCCTTGGGTGAAATTTAATTTCAGCAAAATCCATACAATAATTGAGAAGAACGATGTTGAAAACTAAAAGAAAAGTTTTTTAATTGATGATATATAAAAGAAAAAGAAAAAGATACAACTATGAAGGATTAGTACTTTGAATGTTCTACATATTTATAACAGAGCATTCAATTTCCACAAACAGAAAAACAACATTTATCAACGGTTATGGTAAAAAAAACAAAAAAGAGAAAGATCATGAGCAATAACATAAATAAATAGGCCTAAAAAATAATACTCAAGCTGTAACTTATTAAAAACAAAACCTAAATATCATGTAAGTGCTCGTATGTCATCTGAAAGAGCATGAATTATTATTTAAAAGGACTGCATTCCTCATCTTGCCATTTGAACAAGAATACTCAAAATTAACAAAGCTTTTCTGAAACATTTGTCATTTAACCATACACTGAACAAACTACTGGAGGTCAATATCAACAATTAAGTCAAGGTGATCGAGTTATTGTTCCTATTACAGCTACGATAAATTAAAGTAAAACTGATGGGGACATCCGATCATGAAGATTTTCAAAGGAGGAGACGACGATCGACGGCCGAGATCATTTCACCTTATCTTAATTTGTTATTATGAATTTTTATTTTTATTATGAATTTTCCCTTTTTACCCTTACTTAAGAGTGTCATCCTATGTAAGCCCTAGGAACATATGTGTCTTTTTTTAGTTTCTTAGGCCTATATATGAAGGCCCTAGCTTGTATAATGTAATGATGGATTATTAAGAAAAGAATTGGAGCCTTTGACTTAATCTATGTGTGAGTTCTAGAGAGGAAAAGTCCTATGGGAGTACAACCTTGTCTCCACCAGCCGCAGGATGGATCCGGGCTCGTCGATTGAAGTCCCTCGGGGTGGGCAACGTAGTACCCACCAGCCACAGGAAGAGTCCCGGCTCATGGTTTGTATCGTTTTTATTTCATTTTATTTTTCTTTGTTCTCCATCCTCTCATCTCTAGTCTCCACCATTCATCATCCGTTTTTTATTTTATTTCATTTGATTTTGGTTAACTTTTCTTTTGGATCAAACATCAACCCCTCCACCTTCATAGTCGGCTGACCACCTCACCCCACCTCCTCCCTCCTCCTTTTGCTCCACCAATTTCGTCTTGCATTCAAAGCTCTTCCTATTTTAGCCCTCTTAATTTGGCAATGAATTCGAATTCAAAATTCAAATAAATTTGAATTTGAATTTGTTTCCAAATTAAGGATTCCTATTTTAGGAAAGTAATTTAAGTTAGATCTAATAAAATTTATGATTGAATTTGATTTAAATTAATTTTCCTAATTAGTAAACCGCTTTTGGAAACCCGCCAAATCTCTCCCAATTTGAATTTAATTGGAATTAATTCCAATTTTCATGATTCATTGAACCTAAACATATTCATCAAATTTGGACCCTCCCACCTCATTGGCCCTCTTGATGATGATTTCAATCATCATTATTACATATCTAAATTAGCCTAAATGATTTGGGAAAGATTTTAATTCAATTTGAATTTCAAATTTGAATTTCAAATAATTTCCTAAATTAACCAAGCTAAATTAGGAAAGTTCCTAAAATTAAGTCTAATTTAATTTTAAATTAGATTTGATTTTTTTATCATTCTTCTAAATTGAATTAATGAATAAAGAAATTTTGAATTCCCTCCCAATCTCCTCTCTTCCCCCCATAAATTTCAAATTCATATGCCCCCCCCCCCTTTCCCGTTCTACATCAGTTTGGTATCAGATCATGGTTACCCGGGGTGCAGACTCGACCGAGTCGAGCTCTTTTTCACCTTGGGAGAATGATGGGGACATCCGATCATTAAGATTTTCAGAGGAGACGACGATCGACGACCGAGATCATTTCACCTTATCTTAATTTGTTATTTGTAATTTTTATTTTTATTATGAATTTTCCCTTTTTACCCTTACTTAAGAGGGTCATCCTATGTAAGTCCTAGGGGCATATGTATATTGTTTTAGTTTCTTAGGCCTATATATAGAGGCCCTAGCTTGTATCATGTAATGATGGATTATTAAGAAAATAATTGGAGCATTTGTCTTGATCTCTATGTGAGTTCAAGAGAGGAAAAGTCCTATAGGAGGACAACCTTGTTTCCACCAGCCACAGGATGGATCCGGGCTCGTGGATTGAAGTCCCTCAGGAAGGGCAACGTAGTACCCACCAGCCGCAGGAAGAGTCCGGGCTCGTGGTTTGTATCGATTTTATTTTATTTTATTTTTCTTTATTCTTCGTCCTCTCATCTCTAGTCTCCACCATTCATCATCGGCTTTTTATTTTATTTCATTTGATTTTGGTTAACTTTTCTTTTGGATCAAACATCAACCCCTCCACCTCCATGGTCGGCTGACCACCTCACCCCACCCCCTCCCTCCTCCTTTGGCTCCACCAATTTCGTCTTGCATTCAAAGCCCTTCCTATTTTAGCTCTCTTAATTTGGCAATGAATTCGAATTCAAAATTCAAATAAATTTGAATTTGTTTCCTAATTAAGGATTTCTATTTTAGGAAAGTTATTTTAAGTTAGATCTAACTAAATTTCTGATTGAATTTGATTTAAATTAATTTTCCCAATTAGTAAACCGCGTTTTGGAAAACTCCCTAAATCTCTCCCATTCTGAATTTAATTGGAATTAATTCCAATTTTCATGATTCATTGAACCTGAACATATTCATCGAATGTGGACACCCTCCCACCTCCTTGGCCCTCTTGACGATGATTTCAATCATCATTATAACATGCCTAAATTAGCCTAAATGATTTGGGAAAGATTTTGATTCAATTTGAAATTCAAATTTGAATTTCAAATACTTTTCTAAATTAACCAAGCTAAATTAGGAAAGTTCCTAAAATTAAGCCTAATTTAATTTTAAATTAGATTTGATTTCTTTATCATTCTTCTAAATTAAATTAATGAATTAAGAAACTTTGAATTCCCTCTCAATTTCCTCTCTTCCCCCCCCCCCCCCCCCCCCCCCCCCCCTCCCCCCCCTCCAGTTCTACATCAAAAAAATACTCTGCTGATGCCGTATTCAAAACATAAATATGGCACCCTATTAGATAAATGAAAAATGCTAGCTGCATATGCATCTGAAATATCTACCTGTTAGCTGTTCCGCCGAAAAATAGCTGACGGATTTGAGCATCACTTCCTACATTCATGTACTTTGCATCAGGGCAATACTTGGATGCCCAACTACGGAATCTATCGGCAGCCACTTCTTGTTCAGCGATAGCAACTTTTTCCACATCTGAAAGATAGGCTCGATCAACAAGCAGTCCTTCAGCTTCCATATTAGCTAAGAGGTTACCAAATGGACGCCAGTACTCTTCATAAAATTCATACATTGAACCTTTGCAAATACCATCAAAAACCCAGTCCATAGCCTCCAACTTTGCCTTTAAACTTTCATAGAGTTTGAGAGTGTTTATAGAATCTGAAACAGAGTAGCAAATCCAAGGTATAAGTTCTTTCCTTTGAAGATGCTCCACAGGAGCAATAGTAATGGATTTGCCTTCTGAACCATCTTTCTTCACTTTTCTCTTCCCAAACAGCTCCTTCATTGATATCTTCCCCATAAATTCATCAACCATGTGAAACCCTGTTCCAGACATGACAATTGGATCACTCGTAAGGGCTTCAAGCGAATACCCGCCATCAATTCTTCTTGAAGAATCCCAAAGTCTTGCAAGATGCATGGTATCAGCATGAAACCCAGAAACCTTGATCCCACAGTTCTCCAGAATATGACTATCAAAGCTATAGTTATGCCAAACCTACAAGCAACGAAGATAACCAAAAAAATATAATACTATTTTTATATTTCAAAAGATAATATGAATACAGCCAAAAAAGCTAGAAAGCCATACAAGTGTATCATCAAATATATATAATAAGTCTATTTATATGCGGTAAAAATACAATTGACAGTCCAAGTTGGGATGAGAAGGTTGAGGGTTAATTTTGGGTCAACAACCAATTTAAAAAATCTTATCAAAATTCATAAAATATATTCATTTTGAAATTTGACTGTAGAGAAAAGTATGCAAAAGTTTGCTATGACATTCACCTCCACATTAGTTGTACTCCCCTACTTGGAGATCAAGAAGTGAAATTAAAAAAAAAAAAAAATTAAGATACAATTGATAAAATTATGGGTAAACTATCGTTATACTCCCCTACTTGGAGATCAAGAAATCCACCTCATAAGAGACATTCACCTCCACCTTTCCACAAACGCCTTAGACTATTTGGTCGAAGAAATATCTAATTTACTATTAGGCAATATCATCCTTAGAATCATAGAGCCCTCTTTCGACATCCTCAACACATCAAAAGTATTCTCATAATAGGTCCTAATATTATCACTATTTTCGATAAGAGTTGGTCACATATTATAACTTCAAGAAACTTAAAAACCATATATAACCTAAAGACCAAAAAGACCACATGGACCAAAGGGATCTAAAAGGACACAATGGTCATAAGTTTCATAGGAACTACCACTAAAGGATTGATGGAGCTTGTGATGATTGCCATTGTCGATATCATGTTAATGATCATGGAGGCAATCGTGATAGACCTCATGTAAAATATGATGCAATGAGAAAAGATTAGGTTGACACCCCTTCCTTAAAATGCTAACATGAACTTATTTTTTTTCTTTTTAATTAGTAATCTATAATAAAAAAACAAACATGTATACATGACTAGCCAGATAATATTATGTTAGACCGACCCAGAAGGAAGTTTGTTTTCGCCCAGGCCTAGCCTGCCCCTTTGGGGTGGGGTCCACGTATTAAGGAAGAGAGAGAGAGAGGGCCACCAAAGTTCTCTCAATTTCTATTTTATTTTGCTGAAATTCCTAATTTAGACCAAAAATTGTTCAATTTCTACCAGTATTTCCTATCAATTAATACCAGTCCTACTTTTGATGATATAATTCAATTATATGATCAAGTAACTTCATTCTTTAGTACTTATTATAGTAACTTCTACCTATAGATTTGTGTTATCCATGGTGTGTATTGCTTCTACCACCACCTCCCCAATTGAAAGCATCTAGAGATGCCATCAAATGAAGTGTCATCTGCCTAGGCATGAAACCAAGCTAGCATGAATTCGACTTGCTAACGAGCTCAGGAGTCAAGCTTATCAAGCCACAAGCTCGAGATCGAGATTGAATTACAGCTTGTATATTACATGAGCTTAAACTCAAGCTTGAAGAGGCTTGGCTCATTGGCCTAAGAGGCTGCTTGATTTTTATATAACAAATCATAAATCCCATTTCTACCACCACTAAAAATTATAGCCCAAATCCATATTCGTCCAAACACCTCTTTTTCTTCAAACGTCACTTTTAATTCCCCAAAATCCTTTTTTTCTTCAAGCGCCGCTTCAATAATTCCTCAACAAGCTCCAATCACGAGTCTCAACGTCGACTCCTCTTACATGCACTGGTCACAATGTCTACTTCTCTAGTGAGCTTCAATCGCATTTTGCCTTCTCCGGTGAGCACAGGTCAAAGCATCTCATTCTCTAGCGAGTTCCAATTGTATATCGCCTTCTCCAACAAGCACTGCTCGTGACACCTCCCTCTCTAACGAGCTCCAATCGCAATTTCATCTTCTCCAACGAGCTTCTATTGTGACTTCCTTGTCTCATTGCCATCAAGGGTTTTGAAAAACTCAAGCCATCAAACTTGAGTTCAAGCATACGTTAAGATAGCCGAGTCAAGCCCTAAAGTAATGACTTTAGCTAAACTCAACTTGTTTACAACCCTAGATCTACCTACCAATGAAATTTTTTTTAGAATTTTTTCATCTCTTTTCTTTGATCTATTCAAGAAATATCAATAGAAAAGTTATTTGTCACAAGGAAACTAATGCAAGTCATCCAGAGCATCTAACTACTTTCTTTTTATTGACTCATGTTCAGCTTCTATCATAAAAATTCAACTGCCTTAACTATCAAGTCTTAAGACCCTCTTTCCTAATTTATATATTGAGTCATTTAGTAGTTGAATGTTTTTTTAAAATATTTTTCTGCCAAAAGCCAATTTTTAAGATTATTTTAGTAGTTTTCTGTATGGAGGCGCTTTATAAGAGGGCCTTTTTCCTGAATTTTGTAACCAAACTTTGATTTTTGAATAAAAAATCACGAACCCATGAATGTTTAGGATTTCATCTATTTTCATTGTTTGAAGATTCAGAAATTATTATTGAAATGCTTTGAGGATTTAATGTTGACAACTTAGGGATTATTTATGTATCTTTCAAGTTTCAAACACAACCTCTATCACTCCTTTCTCTCATTTTCTCAACCAACTATACAAAAATTCCATCATTCGGTTGCCCATTCATACAAGAACCCAATGTCATAAAAAATGTTCTGATGTTACAAAAGTTAAAATAATGAGATATCCTGGAAAATTATGTTATGAATCATATAAATCACCCAAATAAACAAGTAGTTTCCCTAGGAATATTCTACTTATAGTTAAAAAAACAAGTAGTTACTCTAGCAACATTCTACTTATATTTATGCCCATGAAATCCCATCAAATTACCTTTTTAATCGTTTGGTCTTCAAAAAAAGTAGCAAATTTCATCAGGACTTCATGTCCACCATCAAGCACATCCACCCAGATATAAGATTTTCCATTCCCAAAATCTGCTTCAGGCCCAGAATAGATGCTGAAACATATTATCTCTCCATGGTCAACAGGGGTCTCCTGCTTAACATCAATTTTTGCCACCTGAAAGAGAAAAACTAGATGGTATAATAAATCAAATATCAGAGGATGAACAAAATCAAGTAGGGTGCATATATAGAGGTCTATAAAAAAAAACAGGTGAGAAGCAATTGCTTGAAACAACTACTAATTAGCAGATCAATAGAAAATATCTCGCCCACTAATTGATCTAATGATGAGCAAATAACTAAGCAACAACAGGCTATGCCGTTAACTTACAGAATTCTTTAAAAAAAAGTGCTAAAAAATTATTAATATAAACTACCAAGTCTCAACCCCATCCCCTATTTTCACTTCGTACTACCTCATTTTGCTTCCTTGAAAGCAATTTTAGGATGTTCAACAGTCTATTTGGGGCAGCTTTTTTGTTGGTTTGTTTTTTAGAATATTTCCACACTTCCGTATGGCTACAATTTTCTCTTTGCTTTTCAGAAAATCTTTTGGTAGAAAGTTGCCTTTTACAACCAAACATGCTAAAACGATGTAATTGTAGGAAAGCTACTATTAGAATTAAAAAAAAAAGAAATAATTTATTATGCCCATAGCATCTTTCAAAAAATATATTTTCTCATAACAATTTTAAACCCACTTTTACAAAACGTTGCAACCATCACAAATAGATCTTAAATTGTGAGGAAAAAAATTCATGTCAATGAAAGATGAAAACTTTCTTAAAATGGCAATTAGACAGCATCCTAAAAAAATTGTTTTTATTGATTTTAGCTTTGTATCTAATTAGATGATTGATTAATTATTTTAGTTAAGTGTTGAATAAGATTAATATATTATATTATAATTATGAGAAATTCATAATATATCTAAAAAAAATCATAATATATCTTTTTTAGTCATTTAATCAATGGGAAGGACCCATGAAGCTACATTGTGACAACAAAAGAGCAATCAGCATAGCTCACAATCCAATTCAGAATGACAGGACTAAGCACATAAAAGTGAACAGACATTTCATAAAGAAGAAATTGGACAATGAACGTAATTGTATTTATTTTGTCTTATCAAAATATCAGCTTGCAGACATTCTTACTAAGAAACTTAATAATTCTATCTTTGTGGGACTAATTATCAAGGAATGACAAATCTGTATTCCCTAGCTTGAGGGGGAGTGTCAAATACCGTCCCAGCCATCCCTTCCCTCTTAATCCCATGGCCAGCATGGGGATCCATGGGAGGCTCACCTGGATCTGTCAAATACCGTCCCAGCCATCCCAACCGTCCCTTCCCTCTTGATCCCATGGCCAGCACAGGAATCCGTAGGAGGCTCACCTAGATCACGCCAATCTCCTTCCATATGTGGGTGGCTGATTTAGGAAGGATTATATTAGTGCAATTATGCATTATTCTATAATTATTTATTTCCTTATTAAGATATATTGTATAGATCTATAAATAATGATAGTTTTTGAAATAAGAACAAACATTTTTCTCTCTCAATATCTCTGAATTTAATAGTAAGAAATTACGATTGTGCTATTTGATGGCTCTGAAAAGAACCCTTGACATGGAAATTAATAAAAACAAAGCATTCCCTACGGAAAGTGTTACAAAAAAAAATTCCAATAGCCCAAAACAAAATATGCACTGCCTTTCTAAAATTTTGGCCCAATTTAAATTACAACAATCAGATAGAAGTAGGAACCAATTCATGTCATCAACCACTCCTTTCCTCGTTATTTATAAAACTAGTGATCAGTTGATGAAGGAAAAAAATGCCAAACTCTGTGATCTTTGCTTAAGCTTTGTTAAGCTGTTATCAATTTCAGAAAATCAGCAGTAATATCGTTCAGGGACAGCATGATCTTTCAATAACAAGATTTAGATACTACATTGTCCGGTTCAAAGATCATATTTTCTTTCTCCGCCCTTTAAATGTAATAAATCTAGCTCAAGAAAGAATAGTTGGCGCACATCAGTTCCTTGTTGCAAATATACCATGAAACGCAGATGCTCATTATGCCATTCAAACAAAGAAAAATTGTCAAGCATAACAAACTTGCCTGGCCAACCTTCTTATTAATTATTCATTTTACAAATTCTGCATTTAGGAACATTTATCAATTATGCAAATAGATTCAACTATGTTTCAAAAGCAAAACAAAAGAGAAATTATGCAATAGCACATGATACCATACTAGTCACTATTCAGTCCAAGGCAATCATCAGAAACTCCTGGCAAAGCCTATCACATAAAAAATTATAAAACACAGTCTGGATAACTTGCCTCCGTATCACATGCATGGATAAGATTCCTGTACTTTGTAGTAAGCATCCGAACAGTTTCCTCAGCAGTACTGACATTATCAACAACTAGAACTTTGTCATATAGTTTAGTAAGTCTCCTCTTGCGTTCCACACTGGGTGCATCATCTTCTTTTGGATTGCTTGCCAGCACAGCATCTTCCCCCATGAATATATGCGCTGGTTGCTGGACTGATGGATTGGAGTTACAGGTTAGAGAAGGAAATATCTGAGAAGATCTTTGCTGTTTTAGTATGCTTCTAGTATCATCTTCCTTTTCCACATAATGGGCAATATCCGGAGCCTCTACAGGAATTGCATTATTTACAGAATATTGAGCCTTCTGCTGCTCCCATTCATCCGTTATTTGACGCCATGCTTTTCTAGAATTCCCTAAAGATGGATAGGAACACAAGTTGCTTAAAACCTTTGAGTCATTTGTTCTATCACCTCTTATTTCAGATGATGTATGTGCTTGCGATCTATCATTCTGACTATTATGCCCAGCTCTATCATTAGCCCTTTCCCAGCCATTCATAAAACCAGAAGAAGAAGATTGTACTTGCTGATAAGCTGCATTATCCTCCATATTCAAACCATGTTTTAATGTAACCGAACCTGTAGCTGAATTAGAAGGTTGCACACACTTAAAGGATGAACAGTTAGTAAAGATTGGACGTTGAATATTCCATCCCTGACAAGAACGTATGCCCTTTTTCCTGCAAATGATTTTCTGAAACCACATTAAGGATTTGAAATGGCCAGTAGCTAGTAATCGTTATGACAAGATAAAAACGATCAGATTTCTCAGGTCAAAATGAAATGAAAACTTATACTCACATAACTATAACAAACAAAGAAGAATCTGATCCATATCTGTGAGTAATCTGACAGAGGCAGATTGAGCATGATAACAATGTAAAGAGCAACTCTAAAAGGAAAAAAAAACATCTGAAAACCATGCAACTATGTTGAATTTAACTAGACCAAAATCTACAATATGCAAAACTTTAATAAAATCTTAATTATTTAGACTAATTATCTTTTTTTCAAAACAATTAAATATTTTCATAATCCACATCTTACAAAATTTTATTCAACAAACATAAAAGATCAGCCAACACAAGCACAGTTAATATATTGATAATAACTTTAAGGACATTCTACCATAACGAGATGAAAAAAAAAGGATGTACGAAAAAAAAAAGTTGAGGATTGTTAGGATCAATAGTATTTGGTTAACCGTGCTAACTAGACAACTGTGTTATTCTTGTAGCAATATCATGCAGTTTGGTTGGTTCTAACTTACAAAGGGTAATGTCATGTCGAATGATACATTCGGATACATTTCTCTTTCTTTTGTCATTTCTATTAGCCATTGGATTTTTTTTTAATCCATTGGATGGTTTGACATAACAAAATGTCATGTATTTGACCAAAATCCAAATGTAAAGAAAATAGAAGTTCCGTGCCATCTCTAAAACTATTATTTGAAATCATGACAAACCAAAGGTTAACATGTGCTAATAGCATAAAAAATGGAAATATGAGAAACGCAAAAGAAGCGAAGGTTGTGACAGTCTTAAATAATTGATTGCTGAGAAATAAAATTTTGGAATAAAAGAAATGGGCAAGGAGAAAGAAAGATTAGGGAAGAGGTTAAATGAACGCCACGAAGGAGGAACTCAAAAGTTAAAGAGGTAAAGTGAAAGAGGAAGAAGAGCCCAGCTTTAAAAAAAAAAAAAAGATAAGAAGTGTTTCCCATAGGAGATGCCAAATGAAAGTCCTTTTTATGTGGTTATTCCATCATCAACCAACCAAAATACAACCTAAGACATACTAGTTATGATAGTAGCTATAAATTTATGAACTTTCTAACTTTTTCGAAATTGAAATAATGACAAGTATATCAGAAATAACAAATGAACATTTTACCCTAAGTAATTAATAAAATAAAAATATATCATGATAAATGACATAAAATGACTATTACACAAAAGCAAATAAAGCTCAATACAAATGACTAGTAGTAAGTATCGTGTTTTTAATCAAAATTCCCCTAGGTTGTTAAGTACTCTATGTTGAAGAGTTGAAAATGTTGCTAGAGAAATAAATAGATGCCCTGTGTGGAATCTGATTATGTTGATCAATCAGGTTATACTTTTCAATCAGACCTCAATTTAATCTATTCAGCTTGCTGAGGGGTTGTGGGAGATTCTTCCCTTAGTTGGGTTGAGGTGCTTTGCACCTGAAATAAAAAAAAAATTCAGTACAGTGCCCAAGCGCCCCGGGCACTGCATAGTTTGATAGATAAAGAAAGAAAGCGGAGCACTACAACACTCCAAACCTCGGTATTGTGACAATACATACCCCAAAGTTGTGGCACTATCATGCAAACAAGAGATAAAGAATTGAGCGTCGTGGCCCTGCGAAGCGAACAAAACAATTTTCTTTCTTGTTTTTTCATTAAGGGTTACATCCCTTGGTGGTTATTATTGTTCTCTTTGTTTGTTCTTGTACAAGAACAGCGTAAGAGAGAAGAGTGACAAGGACAGAGTGAGAGATAAGAGAAATCTGTAATAATTCTCTCAAATTTTCATGGATGTTTTATTGGTGTGGTGCAGCTCCGTGAATTTTTTCCGGTTTAAGGTTTTTCCAAGTTAAATCCTAGTGTCTTTTTCTTTCCACTGCAATTTTCTATTTCTTGTTTGTTTCTCTGTGTGGTTTTACTTCCCACCCAACAACCCCCAATTATACCAATGAACTAGCGAAATTCATCACAGAGAAGAGATAAAATTGGTAAACGCATCTTCAAAAAAAAGGTGGCAAATCAGGGGCGGAACCCTTTGGAGGCTAAGGGGGCAATTGCCCACAATACAATTAAATACATTGTGTAGATGTGTTATTATTAGGGAATGATGAACCAAATACAAAGATAAATAGTAAATCAAAATTTGATCCGGGGGCGCTGCCCCGGAAAACCCCCGCAGGGGCGATGCCCCTTGGCCCCGCGACCTGACCGAACAGGTCGAACCCCGCCAGGGGGCGCTGCCCCCTTGGACCCCCGACATATATGTCCACAATTACTTATAAGTTTGCCCCCCTTAAAAATTATGGTTGGTTCCGCCCCTGTGGCAAATGGAAAATGCATCCCATGAAGGAAGAGATGAAAGGAAAGAACACTAGCACCATCAACAATATCATCAAATATTTTCTTCAACAATCCTCGAGAACATTATTACAATTTAAGAAAGATATATTTGCAAGCTTGGAGATTTTTATGCACAAAAAATGTATTGATATGCTTGGATTAAAGTACTAGCTAAATGAAGCTAGCTCTTTTTTCCCTTTCATTTAAGCTTCTTGTTGGGTAATTTGGCTAGGGTAAAATATTGAATTAGATTATTTGATCGTGATAGTGTTTGAAGGCTAATTGGATAGAATTGAATTTAAGTGAAGCTAATGGTTGTATTTTTTTAATAAATAATATAAAACAATTCTAGGATTGAAGGGAGGGTATAGTTCATTTTGTTGCAGATATAAAGACAAGTGCTTAGAATAAAAAAAAATAGAATGACAGTGCATAATTAAGATTGATTTCATCCATGTTAGGTTTAAACTCAAAATTCAAATGGATTCATGAAGATCTTCATAAATAGATAAGGGATTGATATAAGCAGGCTTAGGAATTTTGAATATAGTTTGAATTTAGAAAGGGAGATTATGCAGGAGAATTTCAGAAGGTGAAAGGGGAATTTCAATTGGTACCTAGCTAGAGGTATAGTTCAATGGTTGAGAATTGAAGTTTTATTTTGAATTAAAGGGAAATGTTCTTAGGTATTGCAAGTCATGGAACAAAGCAAAGATTTGTTGCAAAGGTGGGAATGGGATGTCCAAGGGTAGGGCTTAAGGGAACTGGCTTAGTTTGGTTTTTGGAACTATTTTCGGTCCAATTTGGAGTTCAAAATACCAGTTTAGATAAGGGTTTGGTTTAGGAAAACTAACAGGGGTTGTGAAAAATGTAATGGTGTAAGGAGGGGGCTTATGGATGGAGAAAAGGAAAGGAGATTGGTGACTATTAAAAGAAAGAATAAACAATAAGATACCCTATACCTCTAGTGCAGATCATTGTGGAAAGCTCTTCCAATCCAAGAACACAACCTCTAATACCGATTGGGATAGAGAAGTGTAGATTGTGCTAACTTTGGTACTCGATTGTCGAGAAGAGAAAAATCCAATGCAGAGGAAGAATCGAGGAAGTAAAATAAAGAATATATTTGATAAACGATCAATGAAAACCTCAAACTAGTGAGACGAGAGAATATATATATATATATATGAAGAAGATCCTCATGCCTATAAACAAGAGAAAAGAAGTACATTCCAATTGAAATGCCAAAGCAAAGCCATTTCTTTCCTCATGCCTATAAACAAGAGAAAAGAAGTACATTCCAATTAAAATGCCAAAACAAAGCCATATCTTTCTTCCATCATTAAAAAAACTTCAGTACAACCTAATGCCTAATATTTATAAATAATGGCCACAAGACACAAGTTCTTGCATGTTTTAAAATATACTAAAGTTAAAAAAAAAAAACCCAGCATATCCTAGACCATTTTACGCCTAACAATTTACAAAATAACAAATAAAAAAAACAACATAACTGACTAAACATAATTATGCTAACACAAATAAGACTCAATACATAAAACACAACTAAAAGTAAGCACCTTGCACAGCTGTCAGCGAACCAAACAAGCAAAAAAATAGGTATTTAACTTGGCAGCACAGCATTTTGATGGAATCATGGAAGAAATGTTATATTTCAGTAATCAGAATTCTAAAACCTCAAAATTAACCAAAGCATTATCAAAGAAAAAATGCACAACCATGATCAGCATAATTTTGGCCAACCAATTCCAACAAGAATCAAAGGCCCCACAAAAATTACCCCCGAACTCCCTTCAAATATCAGGCATAAGAAAAGACTCTTAAGCGATAAACACTCGAGTAAAGCATGAGAAACGGTCGCAGAACAAATCACCTGCCAAGAGAAAAGGAGAGCGACGCATGCTCTGTCCGTCGGAAAGAAGAAGAAAACAAGAGAGGGTGGAACAGGCCATACTTAGCGGAAAATGCCATTGATGCCTTGCAAGGTGAGAAAGAGAGCGCACGAGCACGAGAGAATGAAACCTTGAGGGTTTTAGCCTCTTTTGCATCGTACTGTATCCATCCGAAGGAATAGGCAGATATAACGCCCCGATTTTCTAGTAATTTGACTTTGTTGCAAATCACCCCTCCATTTTGTACAAGTGCAAAATATGATAAAAACTTCCTTATTCATTTGATTAATTTTAATAGGACTATAATGTATGTAACTAATGAATTAAAGCTTATATTAATAAATTTAATATCGTATTTATTTACAAATAAATCTAATAATTTGATATTTATATCTTTGTTAATATACATTTTTAATGTCAAAAGTGTAAATATTCATTATTCACTTACATCTTCTGTATCATTTAAATTGATGGAATTTTCAACCAATATTTTTTTTCAAATGGAATAAAATATCATCGAGGTCTTATAATTTTTTGAGTGAAATATAAATGATTTTTTTTTCGAGTTTTGATAAATGAATATATTAAATGGACAAAATTATTAAAATATTTATTCTATTAAAGAAGAAAAATTCAATACAGGCGAACGGAACCTGAAGCTTTATCTAAGTCCATCTTTGTACTTGACATATCCTATAGTAGCATATTTAATGGGATTCTATTTAAATGAATATATATATATATATATATATATATAATGTTCTAATAGATACTCATTACAATATTTTCATTTTAGCATTAGCCATATATTTTTTGCAAAAGAATAATTATTTTTTTTATTTTTATATTATTGCCACAAATCTTCATTCATATAAACTTTATCAAAAACTAATAATTGTTATGAATAACTTCTTTTTAAATATTTTATGCTATTATTACAAACTTTTTGTCTAAGATGCATTCAAATTTTAATATAAATATCTTTAAATTAATATATTAATGCTCATATATGAATTAATCAAATATGTGATTTAGATGTCAATATAATGTGTCACAATTTTAAAATGCTTCTGATGAGAAATACATCAAAACATTTCATACATGATTTAGATTTAGTAGACATAAGCAATCATATCTCCTTCAAATTGATCAAACCCTAGGTTGATTGCACGAGTAGAAAGTGGAGACTAATGAGGGCCACTACTAACCTCACCCTTTTTTTGTGACTGCCAACCCTCTTGGATTTAGATCACTTCATATCTCACTAGGTTTTGTGTGGCTCATCTTTCTAAATATAAATTTTTTGGAGTTCTTAGCACTCCGGTTGGTTTCTAATTTATGACTCGTTTGTGGTACTAAATTTTTCTGAATTAGACAAATATTTAGACATACAATTTGATATATCATTATCATTTTCTAGCTCCATAATTTTGATTAATGAAAAATCTTAAAACTATTTAACATAATTCAGAAATTAGAAATTTGAGCTATTGATTTCATTGGACTTATGATGTCATTGTGATATTTGAAATGTCTCCCTTTGCTTATCGGCTAAAGAATTCACTTGTGATGATTACTATTGAATCACTATCTGGTCATCACTATCGACACTACAGGAAAGTCAGCAATTTGCATCAGACTTTGCGATGAATTTTTTTTCTCTGAAATAATGACGGTTTTGCAACAAAAGTTGCCGTCATACTTTTCCTGACGGATTTACATAGAAAAATCTGCCGCAAATGTTCGGCATATTTTTTGTCACAAATCTGTCATAAATCCGTCACAAATCTGTTGTAAATATGACTCTTAAAACCCTATCTAAACTGGCTAACTAGCCATTTCTTTTTTCGCTTGTTTTATTTTGGACCGCGCTCGTGACATTTCTCAGCTCCTTCGAAGACGTTCTTCGGGCATCGCCTCCTTCGACGACGTTCCTTCCTATCACATTCGAATACACACTTCCTCGCCATTCATCATCTTTACAACTGTCGTCTCCCCTTTTAGCATGAGTTGTTCACCTCCTTCAACGACATTACTTCATGTCGCCTCCTTCGATGGTATTCCTTCCTGTCACATCCGAAGTTCCTCACCATTCTTCTTCGTCAATCCTTCGACACTTCCTGTCACATACGACGTCTTTCTTACATTTTTTTCCACCGGTAATGACACTTCCTCGTCGTTCCTTCAATTTTTTTTTTTCAACAAAATAAAAATTGTGAAGCGCGAATTACCGTCGAACATCTTTCGATACAAATTTGTCGGAAATTGAATTTTATTGACAGAATTTCATGCTTATCGGCGGATTTTCTTCGCCTATAATGACCCATTTTCTTGTAGTGGTTGTCTCACCTTTGATTGAAACCTTGCCCGGCTCCTTTCATGGCGCTCCTCCTGTCAGAGCCGATCGAAGCTTGCTCGTTAAGAAGGTATCCATCTTTCTTCCTTAAATATCATGAGTCAAATTATTCATAGTGATGGTGTGATAGATGGAGATATTTTTAGTAGAATTTATGTTAGATGATTGAAATGAAGCAATACATTGGGCTTATTATGTGATAGGCGAGTTCTCCTCAAACTTAAGGAAAATTTCTAGAAAATCGTGGTGAGACCTGCAATGTTTTATGATGTAGAATCTTGGCCATAAAAAAGAGAAGCATAATATTAAGTTAAGTGTTGCATATATGAGGAAGCTTAGGTGGATGAGTGGCTTTACTCTTACAATTTATTATTCATGGTGATGGTGTAATGGATGAAGATAATATTAGCAGAATTCATGTTGGATGGTTGAAATGGAGGAATGCATCGGCTATATTGTATGATAGATAAGTTCCCCTCAAACATAAGAGAAATTTCCAAAAAAAATGTTGGTGAGACCTGTAATGCTTTATGATGTAGACTGTTGGCATTAAAATAGAAGTATAATATTAAGTTAAGTGTTGTAGAGATGAGATGATTAGGTGGACGGGTCGATTTACTCTTAGAGTCTATTGTTCTTGGTGATGGTGTAATGGATGGAGATGTTTTTAATAGAATTCATGTTAGATAGTTTAAATGGAGGAATGCATCAGGCATATTGTGTGATAAATAAATTTACCTCAAACTTAAGATAAAATTCTAAAAAATGGTGGTGAGACCTGTAATGCTTGGTGTTGAATGTTGGCCATTAAAAATAGAAGCATAATATGAAAAGTGTTGCAGAGATGAGGATGCTTAGTTGGATGAGTGGCTTTACTCTTACAGATGGGATATGAAATGAGCATAAACTTTAAAAGGTTGGAGTAGCTCCAGGGGAAGATAAGATTAGAGAAAGTTGCCTTAGATGATTTAGTCACATAAAATGGTGACCTTCTGATGGCTCGCTTTAGATTGGAGAGGGTGTATGGGCAGAGCTCAATAGTGCTTCTGACAACCTACATATTACTGCAAGGAGGGAGTGGAATAGACATAATTGAGCTTCTAACATTGGGGGCCTGGGTAGCTCCCTCCATATTGGGGGCTCAGTTCCACACACTGAGCATAGATAATGATTGGTACGATTTTTTATAGATTTTAATAATTTATTTGTTTATACAAGCTAATCTAAGTATATTGTAGAAATAGATGCTTGATAGAGAACCAATTGCAGTCGAGTTACACGGTCACGCTTATAAGCCCGGGAGAACCAGTGGTGGGTGGATAAGTGAGCTAGGAGAGCGTATTTACATAATCTTTATTTAACATGGCTCTATGAAACCAAAGTTTGAATATGATCCAATTTGAACAAATTCGGCATGCGACGAACATCAATATTTTGTTGTGAATACAAGAGATGGCATTTTGGTCCGAGATCAACTTTAAGGCATATTCCTCCAATAAATCAAATAACAATGATTTTTGGCCCATTATGACTATTATGAGGTGTATCAAATCAATTTTTCCTTATAAAAAATTAGTGGGATTTATATAAATACCTTATATTCTTATGTATTTGCATATATAACTCATAAATCTTTATGTTTACATACACAATACTCAAATATCTAAATCATATTAAAAAAATCATTAAGATTAAAAAATTTAAAAGAAAATACACATTTTAATGCATATATTTTGATGTGAATGAGAAATTGAAATATTGTATAAGTAAATATAAAAAAATTAGTTGTTTAATATATAAATAAATAAGAATTCCTTGTTATGTGTGTAAATCATTTAAAAATATTCATGATATGATGGTATAAAAAATAATTAAGTATTTTATATTTGAAATAATAAACAATAAAATTTATGTGGAAATTAGATTTAAGAAGAGAATTTTGATTTTATATGCCCCATAATAAAAACAATAGAAGAAATATGTTTGGAAAATATGCTTGAAAGTTCAACTAGCTAGAATGAAAAATACACTAAATAAGGGATAACGATAGATAGCTTTTTCAAAGTCAAAGTATATGTTATAAGTTTGAGGTGATTTGATCATTATTCAATCGAGGTTCGAATATGAATACTGTATTATGGTTCAAAGATGATTTGAAAATGGTTTGATTATGACATTAAGATGGTGCAAAATTTATTCAAATCTAGATCTTATATAGTTCAAAGAAGACTTAATTATGGTGTGATACATGCCAAAAAATGGATTGATTACTATTATTCTTCTATTCAATCACCATTTGATGATTGTTCAATTATAATTTGATTATGAATTACAACTCAAGCTTGTACACATGTTGTTAAAATTGATAATGGGACAAACAATCAAGCTTAGAGCACTATTCAATAGCCTCACAATGCTTCTTTGATCTCTTTCAATAAATTATTTTTTTTATTCACTGTAATTTTGTCTTTATCGAAGAACCATTTTTTATCATGTGCCTAAAATTTTTTAATAATATTATCACAAAATAGGAGTGTTTACTCTTGGTCAATTATAATTAAATTGTATTGATCTCTAAAGAATAAAACATGAGCTCATCACTCAAAGTTAACCCAATTCTCAATATAAGATGTTATAGTTAGATTCATTTACATATTTTGCAAAAATACATATAGAACTCAATTCTTTTTTAAGTCTTAGAAGATAAGTGACACTCATAAAAACTATCGCTCTTAAATTGCACTGTGATATTTATTACAAAATGATAAGCTCTATTGTGTCTCTAAAAAAAGGATGATAAAGTAGTGGCGATATTGTTATATCTATCAAAAATAAATGCCAAATTTTTTACTGTACTTATTGACTTGCTAAATCTGTTCATGAAATACAACCATTAATTATTATTTTTAGAGTCTACTACTAAAAATTCAATTGGATAAATTTGAGCATTAGCATCTTGTGCCATTGCCAAAAAAAGGTATCTCCACATTATGTATTCAAAAATATTCCAAATACTTACTACTATGTCGCATGCACTTTTAAAGCCTTGGATGCAAACACGCAAAAGAAATATAAGTATTTGAAATGTCCTTCATTGTCTTTCTAAGGATCAATAATGGCAATTAGATTTTTTCTATGAAGTATAATAAGATAAGATGATAGTTTTTGAAATGGTGCTTCAAAGGACCCTCTTACATAAGTGTTAGCCTGCTCACGACACCACTAAATCTTCTCATAGGATAAATCAATACCCTAGCATTCTTCACATATAATATGATTTCCTTTGGCTACAAGATCAAATGCAATGAGCTTATCCTTGATTTTAAATTGGAGATACTTAATTTTATGCTTTAACATTTGTAGGATGATAGTTATTTATCTACTCTCCATGACTTGAATTATTGCTTTTAGGCTCATGATACATGAAGAATAGGAAGGCATTGTCAATTTTCTATTTAGGTTGATCACAAGTTGGGGTTGTAATATCTAATGAATGTTGTATCATTGGAGCATTCATGGAACTTCTATCATCTGCAACTCGTATGTTCATAGTATGTCCTTTGTCCAAATTAAGGGTGTTAATAAGTGCCCAACTCGATAACTAGACCTGGATTTGACCCAAAAAAATGAGTTCGAGTTGGCCCATTTAATAAGCGGATCATATGTTGATCTAGAGTTCAGACATGTTTATTAAATAGGTCGGGTCTGGCTTGACCTACGAACCCAATTTTAACCCAATAGTGACCCATTTATTTATTTTTTCTTAATTTTTTTGCTTGTTGGTATGTTCATCTCATTTTTTATCAATTAACATATAACCCATAGTTAATGAATTATCTACTTTTTAAAATATGAAGTAAGATTCATGTCATCCAGGTTGCCAGCCAGTCGAGTAAGGGACCATGTTATTAACCCGTTTATTAATGGTTCGGTTTGAAGGGGTTAAAGTTGAGCCAATTTCAGGTCGAACTTGAACTCGACCAATTAACTCGTTTTGGCACCCCCATTCCAATTCATCGCCGATTTTTTATATGAGCCATGTCTACATCAATAGAAGATGATGAACTGATTGATCTTGAATTTCCTAGTTTAAATAATGATTCATAGTTGAAATCTTTTTTGGAGCAATAAATACAAATATAGGTGATCAATGTTATATGGATAAGGATATCTTATTAAAAAAATGCAATATTATAATATGTAAGTAATTTAGTTGGACAAATTAAAATTGTTGATTGTGCTCCACCAAAGCGAAGCATCACCATGATTTCAGACTAAATTATTTTGTTAGCAATATCTATCACTTTGTTTATAAGATTCATGAGATCTTCAAAGGAAATACTTCTTACTATCAATATTTGGCTTCATTATCCGATGAATATCCAACTGACTTATTTGACTTATTTAAATTCTCCTCTTTACAGTACAAATATGTTGATATTTTATTCAAGTTTAGAAAATAATTAGTTAGCAATAGTCTCAACATAGTTCAATCATGGATTGAACCGCATTCAATCATCATTCAAACATGTTGAAGCATTCATTGAACTATGTTTGAACAGTGGTCGAACACTATTTAAACTTTTTTGATCTGTAATCGAACAATGTTCAAAGATATGCTCTCCTTGGTCTATTGGTTGGGAGCTTTGGCTACCAACTAAGAGGTATTGTGTGAGTTTGCCTTTATTGGCCTAAATGTAAAAAAAAATAAAAAAAAAAATAAAAAAAAAAAATTGTGTGAATTATAATTAGGCCATGTTCGAACAATGATCTAAAAAAGTTTGATCAAGTAACGATTGAACACAATCTTTGGTACTCTTGAACAATACTCGTCATGGTTATAATAAGGCTTGAATATAGTTAGCACACATATTTTAACAAGTATCAATGCACATGCTTTTTTACTCTATATTACTTTGCATTAGAGATATCAAAATGAACTAATCTATGATACACATGAAAATATTAAAAAAAAAAACATTAATGTATGGGAAGAAAAATCCAACTTTAATGATGTGGTCACTCTTAAGTGGATAAATCTTAGATGAAAATATGACAAATAATTAAGGGAGAAAAATCAAAGCCATAAGGGCAAGACATGGGTTTTCAATAAAGCAAGATAAAGGTCAAAGCCGAGGTTTTTTATTTTTTTTATTATTTTTTTGAAAATGAGGATATCTACCTGCTGTTATTCTCAAAAGAGATGTATGATGGTGTAACTAATACACACATATTTATTTTAAAAATTGATAGGCATAATTTTATAATTTTTTTATTATGAGATATATCATATATGTAATTAAATTAGCATTAAGAATATAATAAAAATTATGCGACTCAAAAAAACTGTTTGGAAAAATTTAATATAAAACGTCACAGTCTTCACTTAAACCTTCCAACCAAAAAGCCTCTTAAGAAATTTCATTAATGAAGTTTGCGGCTTGCTCCACAGTTTGAGCCTGCCGCTAGCTTTCTCCCTGTTAGCTCGTTTTACAATCATCGCCGATGAGCATCCACTGCTGCTACTGCGGCGGGCGGTGGCCGGAAAATGGAAGTTATAATCGGCAGTCTTTTCTCCGACATGACGTCCCCTCCATCCCTCATAGTAAAAACTTCATATTTTCCATCCCGCTGCCTTCTTCTAGGTTTTCTCTAGGGTTTAAGCTTCATTGCTTACCGTATTCTACGACCCCTGCTCCTAAGAATCAGGACGGAGCCTCCTTTCTTTCGATCCTTAAAATCCTAAAATCTAAACAAGCCCAAGACTTCCCTGACGAAACAATAGATTCTCTAGTGTCCGTTCTCAGCCCCAAGATGCAAACCATCCTTCTCAAGAAACAGAAGGATTGGAGGAAATCCCTCTACCTCTTCCGGCGGATGAAGTTCGCGAAGGACTACTCTCCCAACCCAATTCACTATAATATTATCCTTCGGTCACTCGGAAAGGCCCAGAGATGGGACGAGCTCCGGCTCTGTTGGATTGAGATGGCCAAAGATGGAGTTTTACCGACTAATAATACATATGCTACCCTAATAGATGTTTATGGGAAGGCTGGTCTCGTAAAGGAAGCCCTTTTGTGGCTTAGGCACATGAAATCTAGAGGTCTTTTCCCTGATGAGGTCACCATAAACACCGCTGTGCAGGTTTTGAAGGATTCCGGGCAGTTTGATCTTGGTGAAAGGTTATTCAAAGGTTGGTGTGATGGAAAAGTTGAACTGGATTGTCTTGATCTTAGTTATGATGGCTCTACTGACTCCAGTGTGTTTAGTTCCAAGCATTTTCTGCTGACTGAATTATTTAAATCTGGTGGTCGGGCTCCTGTTTCTCAAATTGCTTCAGGCTTGGCTAGAGATCCACAGAAACCCAGGCGTGCAGCCACTTATAATACCTTAATAGATTTATATGGGAAAGCAGGAAGATTGAAAGATGCTTCGAACGCATTCCTGCAAATGTTGCAGTCAGGGGTAGTGCCAGATATTCTCACTTTTAATACCATGATAAGCATTTGCTGTTCCCATGGGCATCTGTTGGAGGCCGAGTCTCTACTGGGTAAAATGGAAGAGAGGAGGGTTCACCCTGATACTAAAACATTCAACATTTTTATGACTTACCATGCTTCCAATGAAGATGCTGAGAATGTGTTGAAGTGTTACAGAAAGATGAAAGAGTCTGGTCTTCATCCGGATGTTGCAAGTTTCAGAATAATCTTACAAATTTTGTGTGAGAGGAAGATGATATCTGAAGTTGAGGGTGTGATAGAGGAAATAATGGAATTAGGTTCTATTGTTGATGAGCAGTTACTGCCAGTTGTTATGAAGATGTACATCAACGAAGGATTTCTTGACAAGGCATTTATTTTCTTTGAGAAGCATTTCTATAGTGGAGACGTTTCCTCTAAGAATTGTGCTGCAATAATTGACTTATATGCAGAGAAAGGCTTTTGGAAGGAAGCCGAGGAAATCTTCTTAGCAAAGAGGAAGCTGGGCTCTAAGAAGGATATTGTTGAGTATAATGTCATGATTAAGGCATATGGAAAGGGTAAGCTATATGAGAAAGCTCTAGATCTATTTGAGATAATGCGACGGACCGGACCTTGGCCAGATGATTGTACTTATAACTCACTCATTCAGATGCTTTCTGGAGGTGATTTACCTGACAAGGCAAGTGAATTTCTGAGCCAAATGAGAAAGTCGGGTTTCATGCCTCGATGCGAGTCTTTCTGTGCTGTTCTAGCCAGTTATTGCCGTTCTGGTTTTCTTTCCAAGGGTGTTCAAATCTATAAAGAAATGATGGCTTGTGGTGTTGAGCCTAATGAACTTGTTTATGGTTCTTTGGTTGATGCTTTTGCTGAATCTGGGAGAATAGATGAAGCATTGGAATACTATAATATCATGGAAAAATCTGGAATGAAAGCCAATCGTATAGTCCTTACATCTTTAATTAAGGCTTATGGAAAGGTTGGCTGCTGGAAAGAAGCTCAGGAGTTGTATGGAAAGATGAAGAAGTTGAAAGATGGTCCAGATGCCATTGCCTCAAATTGCTTGATCAATCTATATGCTGGTCTAGGAATGGTGAATGAAGCAAAATTAATCTTTGATGACTTGATAAGAAACTGTCAAGCTGATGAAGTTTCCTATGCAACAATGATGTATCTTTATAAAAGCATGGGTATGTTAGATGAGGCTACTGATATTGCTCAGAAGGTGGAGCAATCTGGCTTTCTGACAAATTGTGCTTCATATAATAACGTTATGGCTTCTTATGCAGTCAATGGAAAGCTAAAAGAATGTGGCGAATTATTGCACAAGATGCTAACACAAAAAATTCTACCTGATGCTTCTACATTTAAAATTCTTTTCACTATATTGAAAAAGGGAGGATTTCCATCAGAGGCAATAATTCAGCTGGAATCATCATATATAGAAGGAAAACCTTTTGCTAGGCAGGCTGTGGTAACTTCATTGTTTTCAGTTGTAGGATTGCATAGTTTTGCACAACATTTATGTGAAGTATTGGTAAATGATGGTGTAAAACTTGAGTCCTTTGCCTGCAATGCTGCGATTGGAGCTTACGGAACCGCCGGCGAAGTTGATAAAGCCTTGAATGTGTACATGAGAATGCAGGATGATGGTCTCAGACCGGATCTTGTAACTTATGTTCATTTGGCAGGTTGTTATGGCAAAGCAGGAATGATTGAAGGGTTGAACAGGATTTATGGCCTTTTAAAATATGGGAAGATCGACCCTGCTGAATCTCTCTACAAGGCCTTGATATGCGCTTATGAGGAAGCTGGTAGAGATGACCTTGCTGCGCTGGTTGATCAAGAGATGAGATTTAGCTTCCAAAATGATGAGCAAATCTGTGATGATTAGGGATTTTAATATATTTCCAATGTAAATTTCAAGCAGATCAAACGTGTTTAGGAATTTTACTATATTTATTTGTAAGCTTTTAGTCTTGTTCTTGAGATTTTTGAAGCATGTAAAAAAAAAGCCTACTAGGACGTCCTTCTAATGAACTGTTGAATTTTTGTTTTGTTTGTATTTTGATTGTAGCTGAAGCACACCTTGCGGGAAAAGGACATGTGAGGTTAATTATACTCTTCTTTCGTAACTATTGGTTGTCATAGAAGCTGTAGTCTTCTCATTTACTCCGGACTAGGACAAGGCTCAACCGCATCAAGGGCATATACCATGACTGAAATGAAAAATTATTATGTGCGGGTCTGGATTCGTCCGGAGACCAATAAAAATGCGTCACATCGCCCCAAAAATGTACAGCACTCGGTACTGCTCGGTACCGAGCGCGGAACCGGATGGGAGAACCGTCTGGTGTCCGCACAGAATAATTGCTCGACTGAAAGGGCTTCTTTATTTCGAGGTAACTAGGTACATGCTTAATCCTCATGTTGCCTTGAAACAAAAATTATCTCTTTAGGTTTGGAACTTTGGATCCTTTTTTCAGTTGTCTGCTTTGCTGTTACATTTGGCTCCATGACTTGGTTAGCAAATCCTAGTGACAGAAACCAAGAATGTTATCATTAAATGTAGTATTAAGATTTATGTGCCTGTATCTAAACAGCATACTGTCTCTTCATATGTAGGATTTATTGCCAGTGGTTCTGTTACTTAAACAAAAAACAAAATAAGTCTTCAAAAGTGTAGGTTGATTCAGATGCAGTATAATACTTCACAAAAGGTCGGCCAAGCAGAACCTTTTTTTTTCCCTTCTTCATTATGGGGACCTATCATTTTAATTAAATATGCTTATAGCTTACCTTCCATAACTGGATGTTGACTACAACTTTTAACTATCAAGGTATTTAAATCAAGTTGCCCAGATGCCAAATTTATTCCTTTTGCACCCTGAATGGTTTTATAAGTATTTTTCTTTAATTTGAACTCCCTAGTTCTTCATGGTTACCATATAAATGTTTTTTTTTTTTTTTGGAATTGGAATAATCTTGTTGGTGTGAGTTAATATAAATTAATGTTTCGAAAATCAAAGGCATGGGGTGAGGTATTTTTCTGATCTTGATGCATGGTTGGATAGGCCTTAGAGACAGGATACGAAATGAGCATATACGTGAAAAGGTTGGAGCAGCTCTAGTGGAAGATAGGATTAGAGAGAGTTGCCTTAGATAATTTGGTCACCTAAAATGGTGGCCGTCCGATGACCTTATTAGAAAAGTAGATATATTAGATTTGACTTATGTTAAGAAAGGTAGAGGTAGGCCTAAAAAGACTTGATTAAAAAATATTATAAATGATATTTATTTTTTAGATTTAGATGAGAATTTGACTCTTAACAGAACACAATGAAGTTAAAGGATTCATGTAGCATACCCCACATAGTGGGATAAAGACTTTTTATTATTGTTGTAGTCATATTCTTTAACATAAGGTTTGTTTATAATACTTGGCGTATGGAGTCGAGCAATATATGTTTCCCAACCAAGAATGAGCTATTTCATATTTAGTACTTTCTTGTGCAGAGCTTAGCTTGTAATAATAAGATAAATATTATTTTTTTTTCTATTTATACTTGGATAACTAATCTCTCATCTGCACATTGCGATGTTTTTTTTTTCTTGCTCAGCTCCTGATTAGAGATGGGAACAATGAAGCTCTAAAATATATATCCTTAAAAGATTATGATGGCTCACCAACTTATATATTGAGATCCATACATATAAACTTGAATAGAAAAAATATTAATTTTATGAGTGCTAAATATTACTCTACAGGAGTATAGAGGATCCTTCTTACCAATAGAAAAAAGATTAAACACTTTGAAATCCAAGCCTACAAGATCGGGTATGTGGCCAGACAGTCGACGAAAGCAATTCATCCCCTCATCCATTGCGAGTAAAAAAAAAAAAAAGAATCAAGATATATAATAAGTCACGTGAGAATCTTTACAGAGATTACTAAAAAAACAAATACTTTGATTAAAAGAAGCAGTATCTTAATAGAAATACTATTCAACATAAATATTCAGTTCGATAAAAACTGTAGTGGTTAATCCATAATTACTAAAATGTTTTTTTTTTCCTTCTCTATCTTTGCCACTAGCCTGAGTTAGTTGTCAGAGAAAATTCACAGAATAGATCTCAGTTGAGCTAAAAAAATTCATTTCTGTTCATGTTCAGAACTAGCAGATCGTCCTGGGCTCTGTGATTCATCCACTTTTGGATCTTCAGATGGCTCCTCCTCTGTTCTCTGCGACAAATTTTCTTTAGTTAAATTACCTTCAATAAAGTCTCTAGTTTCCAACGTTGGTTGCTCTAAAACTTGGCTGGCCTCAACATCTGTAGATTTATTTTCAGTCGAAGTAATCTTTTGGGCAATCTCCGAAGATTCTGAGGGCTTCAAAGCAAGAAAATCTGCTTCTTTAAAAATACCAACAACTACTTCATTAGAAGCATCAAGAGATGCTTCAGTGGTTGTGGATATCGCTTTAGGAACGTCTGAAGCGTCTGAAACATTGGAGGGTTTGGAAACTTCTGAAGAGGTCACCAGAGAAAGAACTGTGAGATCATAACCATTTGAACTTTTAGAAGGTGTCTCCATAGAAATGTCTGATAGTCCTGCAGATTCAGTAGCTGCACCTTCAAGGAAAAGCTTCGTAGTTTTGGGAATAGTTGGAGATTCTTTAGCTTGAATAAGTTGAATAAATTCAGCGTTCTGTGCAGTACCAGCCTGTGAAGAACCAGGTCCTTGGTTAATAGTACCTTCTTCAACTGAAGGGGCAAAGCCATTTCTTCCAAGCATAGGGAGGTGAGGGGCAATGTCATTTTCAGCTGAAACAGGGACAGAAAGACGGGGATCAAACACCATACCCGTCAGAATGGGGCCTGAGCTACCCACTTGAACAGTTAACAAATATCCAGCGTCAAATACTCCAATAAAAGAGCAAGAAACCTCTTGACCCACTAAGCTATCGTTGGTACTGGGACTTTGAAGGACTGTACATCGCTTGCTTCTTTTATTAGGTTCAGATTCGGGTACTTCATCCTTTCTAGGGCGTCCCCGCTTGCGCTTTATGGGTGTAACAGATGGGTCATCTGAATCGTGCTGTTGATTTGGCTGGGCCATATTCGGATTTGGAGAAACAGTGCTCATTGGTCTATTGAGAGTGGATCATCTGAAGAAAGGAAGTTGGCATCTGATTAATTAATAGAAGTTTCAAACATGGAAAGAACACAACTGGCAATATACAAGATTGTAATCATTAACCTATATTTAAGCTAACTAATGAATTTCATTAACATATTTGATGGCTTTAAATGAAGATCACTACAATAACAGCATGCACAACTTTTGGTGCGCTTTCTGCAAAGGGTTTAAATGAAATCAACAATCTTTATTTTGAGGGTCGAGGGGCTGTTGGGAAGGCACCCTCACAGTCCCCAGGCTCCATCTCTTCTTGATGCAATATTTCATCTATTATGCACCAACACTTCCCCTCAAAGAGATATGCAATGTCCGACATGTATTATACACGACACGCCTCCGACAAATGTCAGACATGCCAAATGCGTGTACGATTAAACAAATATAAAAAATAAATTGAATACATGTGTTTGTTAAGCATCTTAACTATTTTATAAATTTTTTTCATATAATTTCTTACATTTCAAATTTTTATTTATTAAAAAAATTAAAAGCTATATTTTATATCTACTCTCTATAGTCCCAAAATTAATACTCGCACTCAATATCCCATTGTCCGAACATTCTCATTTTCATTTCTCTTTGACAAGTCGCAGCTAGGGTTTCACGACAAACCCTGATGTCATCTCAACATCAACGTTTCAAAGCCATTTAAACATCAATCTAACGTTGTCTTCAAACTAATGCTCATCTCAATTTTGTTAATGTTGTCCCAACATCGACAACTAATACCATATCAACATCGATGGCCGGAGTCGTCTCAACATTAACACCCGATGCTTATTGCACAATATTGGATGTCGGACTTGCGACAACATTATTATCTCGTCTCTTGATGCCTAACACACGACATCAAAGCCCAACTCTTAACATTCTAATATTAATCATTTTAAGCACAAAACATAGTTAAATAACTTATTATTTTTTAGTTATTCATAGTATTTTGCTTATTCAATTTCTATACACTATTTTTAAGACATAAAAATTATAATGACATGTCCAACCTATAGCCATGCTTATATTTTCAATAATTGACGTGTCCTGTGTCCGTGTCACCGTGTACTTGTCCATGAATCATAGCATTTCATTAACCATAATGACAACAAATTAAGTAGACATAAAGCATACAACATGCAAATTGAAGTAACTGTTAACCGGACATAATGGAGAAAAAACATACAATCTTGAATACTAATCTCAGTTAAATGTAACATCACCATGAATCTTAAGGAAACTTGAAGCCTTTCATTAATACATTATGATATATGCAAAGGGGTACATAAATAAATCACCAGCCAAATAAGTTTACCTGAACAAGGATATTTAGTAATTATTCATGTTTCAAGATGGTGGATGATCATTCGTTTTGATAAAGTACCACTTCTTGAACAGAAAAAACAGGCTATTTATTACATTTAGAATTTGGTTGGCTGCATTATTAGGTTACCGCTTTGATTTCGCTGCATTTAAGCTTTTTTTTTGGCTGTTTTCTATAAGGCAAAAGGAATTAAAAAAACTTAAGGGGGATTGAAATACCCTAAAACCTATGTTTTCCTTGCATTTAGAAATTAATCTAATCGGGCAACGTCCAAATCCCATTGGTTGCCAATTTGCAAGCCAAAGTGATGGTTAAAAAACATAAAATTTACGGTTATAATTGGAATATTTTCTTTTGCCTCGTTTAGTTTGTCACTAAAATAAGTAATTAAATTTCCATCTTTGACTCAAACACCTGCAATTTTAATTTCAGACAAAACACACAAAACATCAAAAACTTTAAAAAAATCAGATAATCTAAGTACACGGGTATTAGGAATAATCTCTTAATATAATTAAAAGCACGCTCACGAGGCTTTATCCATTTAAATTATCTCTTCTTAATGAAATTAATAATTGGTGCTACTATAATAATAAATCTATTAATAAATTATAGGTATAAAGTACGCAAACTATGAAAACTTTGAACAACATGCATATTGGTAGCCGTTAATCAATCCTTAATCAATTTAACATATATAAAAATACACAAATATCACAGTGGTGGATACTAAAAGCCTAATAATATGATGGTGTAACAAAAGGACACTTCCTTATATTTAGATACAATGTTCAAATTGAAACTTTTAGCCGACCCCACATAGTGGGATAAAGGCTTGATGTTGTTGTTGTTGTTCAAATTGAAACTTTTAAAAGAATTTTCAAAATTGTACTAATATTATATTCTACGTTTATTGTAAATTAGAATGTCATTAAAATACACAACCTAAAATATTCCTATAAAGATCAAACAACATGATTTCATTAAAGTATTTGGCATATTATTTAATCCAAAAGGAAAAATCAACTTGTTGGATCCAAAATTGCCCGTGAATCAAGCTGAACTTTTACTAAGAGTATTGCATGAAAAGAAAGAAAAAAAACATATAGAGAAATCTCAAAAATATCCCCAAGACTATTCGTGTATGACCAATTTAGCCCTGGAGTATCACGTTGCCCTAATTTAATCCCATGACTATAGAAAATTGATCTAAAATAGTCCCTCATATTGTAATTATAATATAAAATTGATCACAATTTAGTCTCTAAACTTTATGAAAGTAATCACTAATCACAAAAGAATTATTTTAGATTAATTTTATATAGCCAAGGTACTAAATTGAATCAACATCAAACTCTAGGACTAAAATGATTATTACAAATAGTCCGGGAACTATTTTGAAATATATATATATATATATATATATAGAGAGAGAGAGAGAGAGAGAGAGAGAGAGAGAGAGAGAGAGAGAGAGAGAGTTTTAGAGTTCAAAAATTGGAAATTTTATTAGAATAAACTTGGGTACAGAGAATTGTATAACCTTAGTTTTCCTTTTTTAACCCTATTTATAAGTTTAGATAAAAGTTTTAATGTTCCAGAATTGATACATACATAAAAATACAAAAAATATAAGAGTTTTACAATTTAATTTCTCTTATTTACATTAGCTAGCAATTTGATGAAGTCAGACTGTCAATTCATTAGAAAACCCAGTATGAGAAAGTTTCCCGCCGAGCTAGCAAGAAATCATAAACGTGGCATGCATAAGTATATGAATTAATGATTAATAGTCTCGCATAAAGAAAGTCGTCCAGTTGATAAGTCATTTATGCTGACTTCGTAAGTCATATTCAACTGCTTGGGACCAGTTCAGTTGTTGACTTAAATGAATTCCTCTTGATTTGAGACTAAGTTGACTTAGATTGAAAATTTGCCAACTTGACTCGAATCAAGCTAACTTGACTTAAACTCGGCTTTTCGAATAATTTGTTGTACATTTAACTTCCTAGTTCTCTTGTATTTTTGGAGGTTTACTTTATAAATTTGCCGACTTGACTCGCCTCCACCGGCATGATTCGAGAAATTTACTACCATAATTAAAAAATATTGATACTCTTAGATACAGGTTGATCACACCGTATTTTTAAAAAATATTACCCACCAATCAAATTACTATCCTGATTGTTTACGGTGATGATATATCATAACTAGCAATGATGAAAAAAAAAATTAAGAGACTAAAATCGATTTAAAGACAATGAATTTGAAATTAAGGATGTGAGAGCCATAAAATATTTTACGGGCATGAAAAATGCAATGCTAAAAAAAGGTATATTTGTCTCTTAAAAAATATAATGGATCTTTTAAAAGAAACATAGATGATGAGATAAAAATATGCAAATACTCTTATGGATCCCATCAACAAAATAGAATCAAATGGCAACACACTCCAAGTTGACACAAAAAGATATTAGTATATGATTAGAAAAAAATATTTATATCTTCCATGCTTATCTTGATATTTGTTACTCTATTAGTGTTGTTAGCCGATTTATGAATAATCTCACTAAAGAACAATTGGACATAGATATAATCTACAAGAAACTAAGATAATTACAAACTAAAAGTCTATTTTTTAAAAAAGGAAACAAATAAGAGTGTAAAAATCTTTATTGATGCTAACTGAGTTGGACTCACAACTGATAAAAATCCATCTCTCGCTATTTATTATTTGTATGGGGAAATCTCATCAACTAGAGGAGTAAAAATATGCAGTGATTTCTTAAAGTAGTACCGAAGAAGAAGTTAGGGCCATGGCTCATAAAATTTGTGAGGAATGTAGCTCAAAAAGTTATTGAAGACCTAAACATCCATATTAAATAACTAATGGTTATAATATGCGACAACCAAGCTAAAATTGGAATTGTCAAAGATCTAGCCCACCATGATAGAGCTAAACATCTGGAAATTGACCGACATTTTATAAGAAAAAAAAAATATCTGAGAACAACTCAACTACAATACTGATGAGGACATCGTCAGCATTGTCGACGCCGGAGATCGACGGCCACGAGCATGACTTGTATTTTGTCATTTTATGTAGTAGCGTATTTTATTTTGATGTTTTTCCATTTTTACCCTTATGGGTATTTGGTCGTTAATGTAGCCCGAGGGGCATTTTAATCTTTTGTTTTTCTTTGTCATTGTGAGGCCTATTTATATGGCCATTCTCTTGTAATAATTTAGTTTTTTTGATGAATGAAAATTTGCCACTTTATGTTCTCTTTGTGAGTGCAAGCCTCCACGATCTCTTGGTGAGTTCGTAGGAGAAAACTAGATCTCTTTGTGAGTTCTAGGTTTTCTTATCCTTTTCTTTTCTTTTGCGTATCTTGATCAAGTCATCGTTGCGCGGATTTGGATTAAAAATTATTTCGTGGGAAATTGAATTTTCACTCGTCGAATTCCTAGAAATTTTCCCTTTCGTCCTTCCCCTTGCATTTGCCGTCGCCTAACATTGCCCTACTCGGAGCCGCCGGCCACCTTGGCTGCATCCTCCCGCCGGCCAACCTCCCTCTAGATTTTTGTCCACGGGTACAGTCCCTCCCGTGCAGCCCTCTCCCCTCCCCTCCACCGGTCCTCAACTCCAGCATAGCCTGAGCCGTGAGCCATCTTTTTTCTCAGCTTACAGAATTCTTTTCTGCACCCCTTTACTGCCAATTCTCCCTGTGATTGCCCAACCCGTGGGAATTGAGCATTCAATGCTTGCTTAATTGGCTCATTCAATCAGCCATATTAAGCAATTAACCACTAGCCTCTAATTTCAATTTGAATTTCAAAAGGATGCTTATTACGTACACCCGTGAAAGGAAACTTTCCTTTTAGTGAAATCTGATTTTACTACAGGTTTTAATTAAAATCTGTTACTTAATCAAGTGGGCCCCACCTCATCAAAACCGAAAACCCCTTCTCTCTCTCCCATATGGCCGGCCATTTCAACCCCATCGCTTCCCTCTCTAATTGCCACCTCATCACCTCTTAATTACCTCCCAAATGCCTCCCCACTCCAACGTAAATTCAGTTTTTATTCTCAGATTTGGAAATCTGAGAGTGGAAAGCAAAGTTATTCCCTCAGATTTTCTCTCCACCGTGACTTCATGGGGCTTATTCTCCCTAAGCTATGCTGCTGAATCTTCTTCCCTAAAATGAGTGGAATTCCTCTCAGATTTCTGAGAGAGGAAGAGCTAAAACATTTCAGATTTCGGGCAACTGGGACGTATAATAGCTGTCCAAGAATTGCAAGCTCCGGCTACTTATCCAAGAACGACGATCTAAGGGTCCTTCTTCCTCGGAGTGATCTCGGTTCTAATGTGGAGACGCTTCTTCCGCTAAAGCCTAGATTAGTTGAGCGTACGGGTTCCAAAGGTGAAAGTTCTTATTATTAAATTGTGGATTTTTGTTCACCGTCGTAGTTTTACAATTTGAACTTTGCGTTTTCTTAAATTGTTTGGTTTCCAGATTTTGCTCTTCCTTGCCTAAGCAAGTTAAAACCGAGAATTCTAATGATCACTCTTTTATTATAAACGATAATTTTATTTTGGGTTATTAAGTTTCAATTGCTCTCTATAATTTCTTAAAGTAACTCCATCGCATGTACGTTTCACATCACCTAATCTTACTTGAGTAAACTTTGTGAATCTTAATGAATTTCATGTGCAATCCTTGAATGTTTTACATCAATCTCTATAAGCAATGCAATAGGAAATAGAAGGGCATAATCCATATATATTCTTTCTCTACTGCAGGTTCTATTGGCAGGCGGCAGCATTTAAGAATTGATCACCATTAGCTATTCCTTTTGTTTCAGATTACTTTTCAATTTTTCTATTGGATAAAGGGAACTCCCTTTGCAGAAGATCAGGGTGTAATAATTTGTTTTAAAGTTGTTATGGATATTATAAATATATTCTTTTTTATAAAATTGAATAGTTGTTTTCTTAATGCTACCATCCATATATTAGCAACTGTGGTTGTAAAAAGAAGCTTATTATCACTGAAAATTTTCTAAAATGAAGCAACAAAACAATAGTCAAATGAGGCAATAGTTGTGGCCTGAAAAGTAAAATAGTGCGAAAGTGTCAGACCACTGGACCGGTCCAGCCGGTCCAGTTGGGACCGGTTCACGGGCGAAAATCGCAAACAGGCGAAGAATCCGCCTCTGGCGGAGAACGAGCGGCTCGTCCGTCCCCGTAGAGCCGTTTAGGAAGTTTTTTTTAGCATTTTGAGAGGGAAATTTGGATGTAGGGACTGTTTAGGGAATTCCTTTTGATTTGTATGCATTAAATAGATGTTTTTCCTAGGGTTTGGGCATCTTGAATTTGGCTGAAATTTGAGATCTCTTAGATTTAGGTTTTCTTTGGGCTCTTGGCGTTGCCAGAGATTTGAGAGAGATCGATCCTCCTCTCGAATTGAGGATCAATTGTATCTTGCTATTTTATTCATCTTCTAGTGAAATACAAGCCTTCTACTTGTGTTTTCTAGCTGTTTTCCCTATTTCCTGCAGTTTTACTGTTGTGGACAGCAGTTTCGCTGTTGTATTTGTACTGGTTTGGGTTAGGATTGCTTGCGAACTCAAGTATTACCTTAGGGTTACTTGCGAACTCAAGTAGTTCCTATCAGAAAGCTATCCCAAATATACTATTAATAATTCCTGGTGCTATGGGAAAAGAATAGGTCGGTTGATATGGTTAAACCAATCTGGTCTGGTCCAAAAAAACCTGTTACATATATTCTCTTCAAATGGATTTGTGAACTTTAAATTTCCAAAAAAAAAAGGATTGGTGTACTACACATTTTAAATCCCATTATGTTTTTTTTTTTTAATTTCATGCTTCTTCGGTTTTGTTTTGTTTAATTTCATGCTTCTTCGGTTTTGTTTTGTGTTTTCATTTTATTTATTCTTTCTTTTTTTTTGGTTTGTTTCAGATTACTTTTCAAATTTTCCATTGGAGAAAGGGAACTCCCTTTGCAGAATATCAGGGTGTATATAATAATCTGACATGGTGGGAGCAGATTGAAAATGACAAGTAGCTTAGACGTAATCGGAAGTTTTTGACTGTTGTTCCTCTTGTCTTGTGAGTATTTTAACTTGCGTATGATTGCTGACAATTTGCGAGGAAAAAATTATTGCACTGGTCGAACTATTTTATTGGTAACTACCACCTCATTCTTTCATGTAGAATTGCTCTTTAGTCTTTATTCTTTTTTCTTTTCTGTGAAGTCAATTTGAGAACATAATAAAAGATTCATTGATGCTACATATTTATTTTCTAGGATATGGATGCCAATGTTATCATCACTTTTTTTATTAATTAAAGATGATATTGTGTCCGTTTCAATAATCTGTTAATTTTTCAATGATTTTTATTATCTTGTATTCTTTCTTGGTTTTTATCTAAAGAAGACTGATTTTTGGATCATGTGCTCCTCCTCTCTTTTTAAACTCCTTGAGAGCTATGTTCCACGGATACTCCTATTTATGAGGCATGCTGTATCGGACACGTGTCAGATACGGATATGCCTCCGATACGGCACGGATACGTGTCGGATACGGCTTTGTCGTGTCCAATTAAAATATTATTTAAATTTGATCAGACACGTGTATCGCTTGGTACTCGGTATTGCTTAGTACTCGGTGCTGCTCGGTACCGCTTGGTACCAAGCGATACTAGAACTCGGTACTTGTCGGTACTCGGTACCGCTCGGTATTGCTCGGTACAGAGCAATACTAGAACTCAGTACTGCTCGGTACTGCTTGGTACCGCTCGGTACCGGAACTCGGTTCCAGAAATCGGTACCGCTCGGTACTGCTCGGTACATAGGGGTATTGAATGGTACCAAGCAGTGCCGAGAAGGTAGAGAAAATTTTAAAACAACTCTTACAATAAAAATTTGTTCCGAGGGCGCTGCCCCTTGACCCCGCAGGTCGAACCCCGCTAGGGGGCAGCGCCCCCTTGGACCCCCGGCATAGGCGCAACATATCTATACTTTTTATTTAAAAATTTCATGTCTCAAATTCATGTGGATTAATTGTGTCAATCCTTTGTACTTTTAATTAAAAACTTCATATGGTGGACAATTTATGTTTTTGTTATTGTACTAGACATTTAAATATTTAATGCTTACTTTTATTTTTATATTATAAGATACAATGCTAGTAATGCTACAAATGATGTTGCTTTCAATTTTTTTTTGTCATTTCAAATATTATGCTTTGATTAATTTGTTATTTTTTATGTATGATTTATATATTATAATGCCGTATTCGTGTCGTATCCGTATCCTGTTTGTTTTAGAATTGCTGTGTCCCGTATCCGTATCGTGTCGTATCCGTGTTGTCGTATCCGTATCTGTGCAACATAGCTTGAGAGTTACTACATAAATGGCACAAAATGCTATGTAAATAGCGTTCGGATGTAAATTCGTAGAATATATATTCATTGATTTGTGTCATGGCGACTTCTTGTCTGAAGAAGCAAACGTTTAAACATTGGACATACAGTGACTAAAAACGCCCATCTTAAAACAGGCAAAATACTGAGAAACTAAAAAACCATTATAATTAATGAAATTAGTACCATTCCATTATTTTTCTTTGGATGATGATTTTTAAGCTCCAAAATCCTAAATCTTGACAGTTGATCTACCTCTCTACCCATTAAAGCAGGTAGGGAATAAATTTAATTGTACTTCTACAGCTATCTGTTTGTTTGTCTACAATCTTTAGCATTTGCAAAATGGATGCTCCACTTTTAGAATAATTGATATTTTATAACCTGCAAGTTGATTAAGGAGAAATTTTATACTTTGCAAGGAGGCTAATGAATTTGACTTCCCAAATAATTAAAAAAAAAACAAGGTTTTTGTCATCATTAATCATATCTGGCTAAATGATTTCCTCTGTTTGATGTCTAAATATGCCATATTATTTATAAATTGTGTTTCCCATATGTGTCCTGTAGGAAACTCAAGATCAATAATTTTGATTTTTGGTTTGGAACTTCTAGCCAATCTAGTAGGTAGGAAAATGAAATTGACATATTGATTGGATTAGAGACTCTGTATAATATAACATATTGTTACTCTTCCCCTTCTTTCCATTCACATCGGTTTGTCTTTCATCTCATTCTGTACTAAATTTCCTTGAACTGGAAACTCAACTTACTGTGCTCGAACAGAGAAACTAGCCTTAATTTTTGAAAAAAAGTCTTTCAGTAGTAGTATTTTTGGGAAACTTTTCTGAGCTTATGCCTCATGCATGATTTATCAAATATATGGATGGGACTTCGATTGCCTTAGTTATATTAGCTTTTTTCTTTATACTTAGGCTTCGTTTGGAACAACTTTCTTACTGCTTCTTAAAGCAATTTTTTAGTGAAAAATTATTTTTTTTACTAGAAAGTTAATTTAAGAAACAGTAAAAAAGCCGTTCCAAACGAAGCCTTAGACTTAATTTGGGATGGCTTTCTTACTTCTTCTTAAAGTAAATTTTTAATACAAAAATTCTTAGATGCTCTTCAGATAACTTTCAAGTAAGAAAGTTAAGGCTGGTAAAAAGCATCTGCTTAGAAGTCCAAAATTAAAATTTTTTTGTACTAAGTTATCTGAAGAGCATCTATTCTCAGATATCTATTTGGAAGTTATCTGAGGAGCATCTGTAAAAGTATAATGTTCAGCACTTCGACATGTTCTACCACCACTACCCTTATATTTCACTTGACATCTTCTTTCTGGTTTGTTCTTTCATAAAGACAGTACTGTCTTTGCCATGTCGTACTGCCTCTTTTTCTCTTGATGAAACTTTATCTACTATGAGCTATTATTTTATGCGGACACCAGATGGGAGAACCGTCCGGTTAAGCGTTGGGTATCCAGCGGTACCGAGGGGTTTCTAGAGCGGGTACCGAGTTGGGTACCCAACAATGGGGTGATGTGACGCATTTTTTTGGTATCCGAACGCCCTCTGAACTCCGCACAGAATAATACATCGATCATCAGAGCCTTATATCACTGCATTGTTCCAGGTACTTGATAGTTTCACACACAACTGACCATCAAAAACCGATGCCCCTCTCCTGAATACAATTGCAGTGATTGTATTGGTGGTTGCCAAGTGCCCAAACATGCACAAGGTTCGCATTCTCGGAATCAATGGAGATCGTTGATCGGCATCAGCTCCATTGGAAGATCACGACCGTTGACATGGTGTGGAGTTTTTAAAGCTCTGGTAAAGTAGATGTTGATCAATGTACAAAATAGTTGAAATAACCAGAAATGCTGTTCTCTTCTAGAGAAGCTCAGATTCGGTAGTTATTGTAGGCTTCATTTGAGACAACTTTTTTTACTGTTTTGTAAAGTTATTGTTAGAAAAAATAAATTCTTAAAGCTATTGTACAAAGCATTTTTTTAGTATAATTTTTTTTAGAAGCAGCAAGAAAATATTGATAAAATAGAAATTTTGGCTGCAGTATGAAAAGCAAAGTAGTAAGAAAATTATCCAAATAAAGTCTTAATCTCCAATGGATATCATTCAAATTATTTTTTTAATATAATCATTCATTAACTCATCCTTAATCAATATTAACATTCTCATTTTTGTCACAATTATCTTAAATATTAATAATTTTTAATAGCCTAACATACTTATCCTTATAATATTGTTAATTTGATTATGGTGTTATAAAATTTATTTCTAAACCTCCATGATTTTTTTAATTATATCAAGCTTGCTTGGAAATTCTTAATTTTAAATATCTAGCTTTAACTTTAGATGTTTTACCCCATAAATAGCTCAATTCTTGTATATTAATTGATCTAATAAATACTAAAATTTTTCATATTTTTGTATCATCTAACTTACAATAATATTAAATGATAATTTCTAATTTGATATCTATAAAATTGTATATCATATATTACTTTTTTTCTATTAATTCTAATGATTTATCTTTAAATATTCTTTAATGCTCCAATTTTTCATTAATTTCAGTAGATATCTAATCTTTTATATAAACTTATAGCAATTAAAAAAAATTGTTATTTCACAACTATTTCTAATACTAGTTAATATACCATTTTAAATAACTTCAAAAAATCAATAAATCTTTGGCATACTCCTTTCTATATTTGAAGTGCATCAAATCAATTTTCATAGCACTTGATAAATAAAAATCTTTTCTCTTTGCTCTATATTTCTCCATTAATTAACTACCTTAAAACAAAAATCTCTTTAATGATAGATATTATTGCAACTAAATCAAGTTTATATAGGCTTCGTTTGCGATGGTTTTCTTACTGCTTCCTACAGCAGTTTGTTAACACCAAAAATTCTTGAAGCAGCAAAATACATTATCAAAAAAATTATTCTAAACAAAGCCTAAGTCTAAGGCTTCGTTTGAAACAGCTTTTTTAATAGTTTTTTAAAGCATCTTCTTAGTTAAAAATTTTTGTACTAATAAACTGCTTTAAAAAGCAGTCAGAAAATTGTCTAAAACAAAATTAGAATAATCTTGAAAGTTATTGTTGACATATTACTGAAAATTCATCTAATCAAACACAAATCCAAATAAAATAAATATATATAACATTATTCAATAAATGAGCTTACAAAAATATTCAAAATTTCATCAATCAATCACCAAATGAAATACCCTCAAGCACAAACAATGAGCTTTCTTTAGAGGCCCTACCCACCCCCAACTTGTGTGAGGAGCTCCTGTTATCTTCTACCTATCATGCCAAGTCAAGAAGGGATCTTTCTTGTGACCTTACTGTATTTTTATCCATACTCCTAAGACAATAAATATGACACAGAGATTTCTGCAACTATTGTTTCTTCTGTCTGGCAACATTCTTTGTTCTCTTATAAGAAACAATGAACAATTCTCTCACTCATTTGTTTATTTATAAAGCCACCTAATTTGGTCACATATTGGAGGATAAACAATCATATTTTGTAAGCTATAAGAGGGCATCCTATCAAATATGTTTAGCTTATTATAATGGAATGAGCATTGATTGGCTCTCATCCCAAGGGGAATGTTTTGTTGGGTCCCTCAATAGTTTATTTTGATTTTGTGGATGAGGTAGTGGAGGAATTATTGCTTGTTGGTATTTTGGTTAGATCATATTTTCATATTTTGTTGTTTAAATTTAGAATTTAGGAAATATTTTCACATTTTGAAAAATATATGTGAATATTTTGGGAGAGGAGGAATGGTATTAGTATAATTTCAAATAAATATGCAAACTTTATTCTCGTAATTCGCATTTAGGTTATGTTTGGGATAGTTTTCATACTGATTTCTAAAGCAACTTTTTATTATGATAAGTTTTTTGAAAGCAACGAAAAAATAATGATCAAAAGCTATCTCAAATGAAGCCTTAAGAAATTCAATTTATAGTTAATGGGCTTGACAAAATACTCTATAAACGAGAGAAAGTGACAGCGGATTTTCATCAAACAACATATCCCGCATAGGTGAATGGAAGCTGATGGTTAGAGTGATGGTGTCAGTTCAAGCTCAAGTAAGGTGTTGGAATAGTGAAGCACACAATGTACTAGCCGTATTATGTGCGCAAGGAGGTCGACAATATTGTCACATAAGGGGTGTTGCAAAAAGCAATGAGGGATAGACAAATGAGAAGGCTAGTGGAGGAAGGATGATAATATATCGGTGTCTGTTGGTTGGAAGCTTTGACTACCAATTAAGAAGTCTTGAATTTGAGTCTTGCGTGTGTGATATATGTGTGAGCTTACCTTAATTGTCCTAAATGTCCCAAAAAAAATAATGTATCGGGTACATGCACAAATACTGGCAATATCCCAACGTGGAGTTTGATGATAAATAATTATAGTTAAGTGGTAGAGGAATATATTATTTTTGTTGTTATTTAAAATTTTGAATGTTATGTATGTAAATAATGAATATTAAAGGTAAAACATACAAATCCTAGACATGTAAATCCCCCTACTTGTTTAATTGCAAGCAGATTATGATGTTTCCTACCGACATAGTTACTTAAAATAAATATATGAGAAAGATCACATTTTTAAACAACAATAAAATATTTATCTAAGGATATCAATGAACATTTGTGGTCAAGTCAAGTGATTTGTTGCTCTGAAATAACTTCTCATCAAAATGAAAAAGCTTAAAAGAGTCTGATGGACATTTTATTCCCCATCAAATTAAGCTCCACCACAGCCTTAATGGCTAAGAGAATCTTTGATGGCCTGATAAGACCTGACACCCCCAGATCTGCTTACTATATTCAATAAAGATTTAAAGAACAAAGCTTCCATAATATACATAATTAAATAAAAATTTTCTCAAAAGTTTAGAGGGATGAGAACAACCCACGCATAGTCCCTCCCTTCCACCACCAACTCAAATTGAAACAAAATTCATCAGATTCATAAAAAAACATCGATCACAGCTTCTTCAATCTTCCATGAAACTTCTCACATGGATACCATCCCTCTCCTTCTTCCTCTACTATCCCCCTCTTCCCTCTCCTTCACCCATAATACCTTCCCAAAACCAAGTTTGATCTACTCCTTCCACAGTATTCTCATCACAAGCATTCTTAATGCTTACTTGCTTCAAATCCTCAAAAGGAAAAGGAAGATTGCCATCTCTTCTCTCCTTCCCTTCCTCCATGCTACCAACTCCATAATCTAATGGCACCTTCAGCTTGGAGGGCCACATAAGCTCTTGCAAACCGAAGTCTTCAATCGTGGGCATACTCAATGCATGAAGATCCTCCTGAAAAGGATTTGATTTACGAAGCCTTATTCTTGCATTTGCGGAGAGCTCGTTTTCTTTACTGGAATTCGGTAACTCAAAAGAGATGAACTTTCTTGAAGCGATCCCACTCCTTATTGGTTGGAGTGCAGAGACAGAAGAAGAGAGAGAGAAGGAGGTAAGCTCAAGAGGAATGAGCTTAGAAGGTTGTTGATTCATTGAAGTAGATGAAAGTAAGGATGTTGATGAAGTAGGGGTAGCTAATGTTGTTATTTTAGAAGAAGCTTGAGATGAAGATGAAGATGAAGAGTTCAATCTCTTGTTGTTCTTCCTTGAGCCTCCACCAACTGGGACATTTCTAAGGGATCCACCTTCAGTCCAATATCTCCTACAGGACTTGCAGAAATATCTGTGGAAAAAAAAAGTCTAATGTTGAAAGTGAAAACTGGCATACAAATGATCAAAGTGGACAATTAACAGTGCATCATTGAAAGATAAAATAAAAGATTGCTTCTTTAAGGCATCTCCAACCGAAAATCCCATTTTTCATTTCAAAATACAGTGAAACTCAAAAATGCTTTGATTCATCTCCAATCCCATTTTGCGGATTCTGCGAATGTAATCGTCTTTCTCCTCTTTGTTTTTAGTGCGTTTCTACGGCAAATCCATCCGGCTGAGACAGAAAAATCGCATAGGTGAACAGTGCGATGCCAACCCGCAAGCAAATAGTGGAAGATTTGGCGTTCGACTGGAGAGACCGAACGACGCCATACGCAAGTTTGGCCTTCGGTTGGAGATGGTCTAAGAGCTGTTAGCTTTCAAATTCAGTAAATTTTGAGTGAATTATAGCATTATAATTGTTGTATGTAATTATTTGTTTCAATGTTCAAAATTTATGATTAGTAGAAATATTTGCATCTACTAGAGAATGGGATTAAAGCTAAATCTTGCATAGATCCACCCTAAAATAAGCTGTCAAACAACCCCTTAGCACATTATTATCAATACCTTGGCTGACTGAGGCTATAGTTGTTGTAGTAACAAAATTTGGTGTTTGTTGATTTGCACCTTGGACAGTTTAGTGCTTGTTCCCTGTGAGGCCTCACCTTCCTCTCCACTCCCTGAACACATAGACTTTACATCAAAATGAGTAAACAGCAATAGAAGAAGAAGAAGAAGACTGAGAATATGTAGAGGAAAGAAAAGGAGTAGTTGAAAGAGATATATGTTTGTCTTTGCTCTAAAGCTTTTTCCACTACCCTTTTCTTGCTCACATCTTGCTTTTCAAAGCTCAAAAGAGGAGACAAAGAGAAAGAGAAAAATAGAGAGAGAGAGAGAGAGAGAGAGAGAGAGAGAGATGCAGAGTGAACAAAACCAAAGCTTCCTCATCTTCTGACTAAAAAGAAGAGATGTTCAGGATTTGGAGTGTTATAGAGGGAGAAAAAAAGGAATGGAGATCAAAAAGCTGTGTTAATTTGCTTATTGATTACCTGCTGAGGCCATTGAACAGTTTCCATTAGAAGATCTCTGTGGTGTGGGTGAGAGCTGCAATAGCAAGACAGAAAGAAGAGTTGGCTCTGCTCCTACTGATGGACAGCTTGCTATGGCAATCAGGAAAGCCTATTGAGGTTTTTTGAGTGGAGAATATTATGTTCCCTCGTCATATAGAGCTATATGATTTGATGTTCATATTTTATGTATAATATAATGGACAGCAAACTTACATTCAAATCTCTTTAAATTTATAAAATTAAAATTAATTATTTTTGTGATTTTTATGCCTATAGAGAAGTCTTCACATATAAATATCTTCAAATTTTGTAATTTTATTTTGAAAATTTTTATAAGGGCTTCAATTGTTTTATTTGATGTTTTATGTTAAAATAAAAATTTTATATGCATAAATACCTCTACTCTTTGATTTTTTTTTTTGAAATTTAATATTCTTTTTTTTTAATGATGATAAATATTTTATTTTCTTTTATTTATAATTTTGTATCAAAGATGAATTAATTAAATAGCAAAATAAAGTTTTTTAATCTCTTTTAAATATTAAAATTGGAAGCAATAATAGGACTATGAACAAGTGTCCATTGGTGCTTTACATGATAAGCATATGATAGCCAACATTCAAGAGAGAGAAAAGGACTTTTGTACATCAAGAAGGAGAATGTTCATTCTTCTCTCTCTTCTTATGTAACATTTATATATATTTAATCCAAGATTAAGCTATTAATTATCTTTCATAAGATACGAATTACAAATGCATTATATATACACACACACACACGTCCTCAAAAACTTATCTTGATTGGGCACGAATTTCGAGGCAAAATCAAGTTTGAAACTTCTGAAATTAAAATTAGTACCATCCGAACTCTGATTTAAGCAAACTTACAGTCGCACTGAACATCTCGGAAATATGAACACAACAACAACAAATTCGACTCAATCCGAGCCCAAATGGGTCCAAATCAAGGGTCTTAAGTGTTGTTATAGGGTTTGAACCACAATTTGGGTTACCAAACGGTTTCCAAACATGACGTACTTATAGTCGAATCAAGCGGCTCGACGAGACAAATCCAACGAGCCCAAGATCACTAAATTCCGACATCATTAAAACCTTCAATTGTCTGATGAAGGGTCCACAATCAAGGGATTCAATATCGGTCGTCCATCCAACCACTCCCCATTTACCCTTGATATCTCACCTATTTACGGGTCATTCCACTCCATAAATCTATAAATAGACCCCTCTTTTCTCTTGAATGGGTGACCAAAGCAAGAACATAATAAGAGAAGGAAGAAGCTCCTCCTCGACCATCGTCGGACTTCTGTCAAACCACCACCTGAGGCCCTCACCTCCGCCAGACCACTGCCTGACGTCGTTGCTCCGCCGGACCACCACTTGAGGCCTTCACCTCCGTCGGACCACCGCCTGACGTCGTTGATCCGTCGGACCACCACTTGAGACCCTCAACTCCGCCGGATCACCGCCTGACGTCTTTGCTCTGCCAGACCACCACTTGAGGCTCTCACCTCTGCCGGACCACCACTTGAGGCTCTCACCTCTGTCGGACCACCACTTGAGGCCCTCACCTCCGTTGGACCACCGCCTGACGTAGTTGCTCCGTCGGACCACCACCTGATGTTGTGGCTCCGCCGGGCCACCTTCTGAGGCCCGGACTTCCGCCAGACCACAACTTGAGGACCTGTGCTTCACCAGGCCACCACCTATGGCCAAACTTCCACCGGACCACCGCTTGAGGCCCTATGCTTCACCAGGCCACCACATGAGGCTCAAATTTCCTCCGAATTGCCACTTGAGGTTCTGTGCTCCACCAGAACACCACCTGAGGCCCAAACTTCCGGCGGACCACTATATGAGGCCTTGAGCTCCACCAGGTCACCACTTGATGCCCAGAGTTCTCCCAAAATACTGTCGACCTCCATCACCGGATAACGGTCTTTCTGACTCTAGTCTCTTGCCGACTACGGTCCTTCCGACCTCTGTCACCTACTATATATGGTCCATCCGACCTCCATCACTAGACAACAGTTTTTCTGACCCCGGTCTCCTGCCGACTACGTTCCATCCGACCTCTATCACCTACAATGTTCCTTATGACCTCCATCACCAAACAACAATCTTTCTCACCCCGGTCTCCTTCCAATTATGATCCTTCTAACCTCTGTCGCCTACTATGATCCTTCCGGTCTACATTGCCAAACAATGGTCTTTCTGATTCCCGGACTCTTGCCAACTATGGTCTTTCGAACCCCCTGTCTTCTGTCGACTACGGTCATTCCAACCTACATCACCTACTATGGTCCTTCTGACCTCCATCACCAGACAACAGTCTTTCCGGCCTCCATCATATCGATTATGGTCGTGCCGACCAAACAAATATGTCTATATTGTAACTCAAACCATGTAATTCGCTCTATATGATGTAAATTTGTATCATCAAGCCAAGGTCTTCTCCCAAGGAAGGGCCTCATTTGTAATCAACTATAAATACTAGTTGATTCATTCAAATTGGGCTAGACCGCATGCTTTTTCTCCCTTTTTAGGGGTTTCCACGTAAAAACTTTGGTATCTCTTATGAACGCTTCACCCTCTCTCTTATCTGCTTGTGTGTTGGATCTTCGTACAACACTAAGATGTTAAACTATATATTTATCTACCTCCTCGAATACTTCAGGACGCAACAATATATATAATCAAAAAAATATCTTAATCGAGCACAAATCTCAAGGCAATATCATAAAGCTGAAACTTTATGAAATTAAATTTGGGACCATCCGAACTATGATTTTAGCAAACATAGAGTCGAACTGAACATCTCAAAACGACGAACCCAAAGACACCAAATTGGACTCAACCTGAGCCCAAATGGGTCCAAATCGAAGACTCAAAGCGCCTTTGGAAGGTTCAAACCATAAATTGGATTATTAAACAATTTCCAAACATGACATGTTTATATTCGAATCGAGTAGCTCAACAAGACGAATCCAACGAGCCTAAAATCGCTGAATTCTGATATCATTAAAACATTCAATTGCCCAGTAAACGATTCAAAATCAAGGGGATCAATATCGATCATCCATTCAAACCACTCTAAACATGCATTCAATTTTCTTTCTATTTATTGATAATCTCACTCACAAAAAAATTATAAATAATCCATTCATTCTTTATTGGGGGGACCCAAGGAAGGAAGGAAGGAAGAAAAGGCATAAAGAAAAACTAGAGTTCTCTTCCCACCAAACTCCTCCTTGACCATCGTCAGACTACTGACCATTGCCGGATTTCTACCCTGCCACCAACTTACGACTTACGCCGTTGCCGTCTAACTTCAACAAGTTGCCAACTAACATCAAATTTATATCCAACCACCGATCATCGCAGGATTTTCATCTGATTCTTGTTCGTCGTTATATTTCAACACGTTGGTCGACTGGGTGTGGCCCATGATTTTTCCCCATAAATCATCTACAGTGTAATTAATAACACTTATCAGTGTGGGCTTAGAGAGAGAGAGTCTTCATGAGGGATAAAATATTTTTTTTAATTAGAATAAATTTTTTTTCATATTACAATTTTTTACTAAAAATTTACTTTAAAAAGTAATAAAAAAGCCGTCCCAAACGATACTTTCATGAGTCTCAAGGTACTATTCCTGCATTGCTTATTGTTCATTTGCAACATCGAGAGTCGAATCCATTCGCAATTTTTTAATATCCCGACTCCACCATGCCCTAATTTCTCGTTCCATTGTTTCTACTATTTGGGACATTCAGGCTTCGTTTGGGACAGCTTTCTTATTGTTTCTTAAAGCAGATTTCTTAAATTTTTTGTACTAAAAAGCTGCTTCATAAAGTTGCTTTATGAAGCAGTAAGAAAGCCTTCCCAAACAAGCCTCACTTGTGATCTCCTCCTACGACAATGCAAATTATGCATCAACTATAAGTAATATTTCATTCTTAGGAAAGAGTAACGCTATTCAGAGTTGGAGGTCATAGTCGAGTTACTTGTAAGTGCCAACCATCTTCATATTTATTTTCTTGTGCTATGCATATTTATATGGTGTACTATAGAAGAATTTGATGTATTATATATGTTATGAATTATGATCCCTCTTTATTATATCTACATTGTTCAATTATTATTCAACCAATATAATGGTTGAATTTGTTGTGTTGTATGGTGTGATCGATCTCTTAATTAGACGTGTTAAGTCGAACATTGAATCAAGCTTATTCAAACTCGCTACTCAACTATTTAATAAATTTTCAAATAATATCTTATTTGAACTATGTTCGAATTGATTGTAAAATTTTAAATTTTGCAATTAAAAATCTGCTTTAAGAAGCTGTAAGAAAGCCGTCTAAAACGAAGCCTAAATTTGATTGCGATGGACTAAAAATGGTAGTCACTTATGGAACTCTCAAGCTGTCTCACCCCTTTAGAATATTATTGTATTATGGAACTCTCTATGAGGTCCATAACATGCCTTTCTTGCTTGTATTTATTTATGTTTTAATGCTGCTCTTAATGGTTGTTGGCTGCTCGATCTTATTACAATATTAGTGCATTTTGTTGAGATATGATTGCCTGTGCTTCCCTGCTCTTCTCAATGTTTTCAGTAACGACATTAGTCCCATTTTGTTGTTTATTTGGTGCTTTGGTGTAGTTACTTATGTGTGTAAATTTCTCCTTTTTTTTTCAACATTATATGTTTAACTTTTTCTTTGTACGTCCAAATATTCAGAAAATCAAGCTCAAATGAAGTCGGCCTAGTTTAAGCTAATTTGACGTAGTTCAAGTCAAACTGGCTTGATCCACTCAGTGTCAACATTAAAAAGACTCGACGCTCTATAAAAAAAACTCGTCTCAAGAAGGGGAAATTATGACGTCCAGTGTCCGGATTCGTCCGGAAACCAATCCGGAAGCGCCACGTCACCCAAATATACCGGGACCCAGTGTATTTGGGTGATGTGGCGCTTCCGGATTGGATGTCTGGACGTCCGGTGACCGGACGTAATAATTCGCCTTCAAGAAGACGATTGTAGCCTAAGAACTTGACCCAACCAAGTAGTATAATCTATAAAGATAACCCAAGCAACTCTCAAAGGGATGACTTGATTTACAAGGGATACTATAAATCAATTATCGGGTATTTGACCATTAATACAGACAAAGCTAATGACTTTTTAGGAGCTCAACAGACAATTTCATCAAATCAAATATTTGGATTAGGCTATACAATTATTATATATTTTTTTCCTATATAAATATTCATGTAGCTGACTATGTAACACTACAACCCCAATCCAAATCTACAAATAGGGGGTTCCAGAGATGAACTCAACATGGTTTTCTATAATCAAACTTATTTTACAGAAATCTCAAAGCTTCTCACTCTAAAGTTTTTTGTCTCTCTCTAATTTTTTGCTCTCTTTCACTTAATGTTCTTAGTATAATTTATTGTCATTCACCTACAACCCTTGATTCAAAAGAATAGTTTATATTTTGCTAGAGAACAAAAAAAAAAGGACAGAAATCCATTGATGTGACTCAAACTACTGGAACTTCTCTATTATGCTTAATAAATCTCCTCTAACTTCATAGCCTAGCTTCATGATGTATTAATTAAATCATTCTTTGAGAGTGAAGTTAACTAAGATAGAATCATCTCGAAAGTTCTGAACTCAAGGCCCAACCATACTCAAAGCAGAACTTAAACAGGTAGATCTCACAATCAATAATAGTCAAATTCAGCCTTTCTAGCTCAAATGGTAGTCTCATTTCAAAACTCTCAGAATTCATCCAAAGTCTTCTTTCAAATTCTTCAAGGAAGCTTCTTGTCTGGACCTCTAGTAAGCATCTTATGCACTCAGCAAGCTTGTCAATGGCTGAAAGAATCAAGACTGAGAACAGAAGGAACAACAGAGAAAGTAGTTTCGATACAGGAGGCATACTGTAGCTGATTCATCAATCGGATAAAGCTAAGGAGACAAAAACAACTTTATTATTGGCTATCCTCGTCATATAGAATGTTCCTGACCCCTCCAGCTCAGCACTAGTCAACGACTCTTCTTATCTCAGTTTGATCCAGATTCTACTAATGCTGATGCAGAAATCTAGCGTATAGAGAAAGCAAGTAGAACACCATACAGCTGAAAGAAACTTACATCAGTTAGCACTAATAAGCTTATGACATTGACCTCTATGATATGCTTATGGCAATACTGTCCCCTATGATATGATGTGCTTAGAATACTCATATAAAATGCATTAGTGGTGTATGTTGCTACTAGGGGTGTTAATATTTGACACTACACTAAAATCTAACAGGAATCCAATCTGAAAATTTTTTTGGGTTAGACCTGAGCAGATTTCAAAATTGGTCGGATTCGGGTTCCCGAATGCGACCCGTTTGAAAAAAAAATGGATCGGGTTCGGATTGACCCTGAAATCCGACGGGTCAACCCGAAAAACCGTTTGAAACGAGATAACCGCGCTACCCCTACCCACACCCGCGTCAGGCTTCCTGCGTCTCGTTCGTGCTGCCCGCACTCGAGGCTGCCCACGCACGTCCGCCCGTCGCGTCTGAAGATGCCCGCCGCCCGAGGCTGCTAGCTCCCACCCACGCGTTGCGTAGACTGCCCGGCCGCCCCGTCGTCTGTAGTCTCGCCATCCAGCCGTGTTGGGTAGGGTCTACCCGATAACAAGATTGGTCGGGTCAGGGTCTAAATTTCCGACATTTTTACATAACCAGTTCGTGTTAAGGTCGACCCGTTTGAACCGGATAAGTTCCATATTCAACCCGAATCCAACCCAAAACCCAATTTTAACACCCCTAGTTGCAACTAATTGGTTGAAATTCAATCATGAAAGAACTAGATCTCTATCTTTTATCATGTTAGAGTCGTTATTTTAATTTTCTTGGGACTTTTTGAGCCATTTAAGGTGAATTTACACTCACATCACATACGCAAAGCTTGGAATTAAAGAGCTCTTGGTTTATAGTCAAATCTCCTAGCCACCAGATCAAGATGAATTACAACCAACGTATCAGAATGAGTTGCATTATCAGTTGTTTTGTGAGATCATCTGATTTTCTTCTCATATCACTATCACTTTATTTTTCTTCCGTCCTCAATGTTTATCATGAGGGTTATGTCATTTGTTTTATGAGTACATTTAATTTTCTTCTCATATCTCACAAACTTTTTTGATTTCCTCTCCCGTATTTAAAGCTAATTATAGATAAAAACTCCAAATTGTTAACTTTTGCCGAATTATATATAGCTCATGTTATAAATTTATATTGCAGTGATTTATAAAAGAAAAATATGAAATTAAATATTTTAAAGCTTAATTTAACTATCTATTAAACTTTTTTAGAGAATTAAAATTAATTATGAAATTATGCTACTTTTCTTATAATGCTCTCCTAAGAAGACACTATTACATGTACAATATGTTTATGTACATAATTTTTTGAATTATTTGTAAAAGGTATATAGCCATGATTTATACCATTATTAAAAATTATTGATACTATATTGTTGCGTGCGAGAATATACGCGGCGGTAGAGTTTGTAAATTCGCGTCCTAGCGTTGCACGAGTATTTCTCACACAAACAGAAAAGAGAAAGTGAACACCAAGGTTTTTACGTGGAAAACCACAAAAGGGAAAAAACCAAGGGGCCTCGCCCAGTTGTAAAGTTTCACTAGTGATTTAGCAGATTACAGATGGTTGATTCGTCCCACAAGTTGGGATAATCAGAATACAATTTGTTTCTCCCAGGAAGTTTACAAAATTCTGTAAATTCCTGGCGTTTCCTGAAAATCCGGCAGGTTGATGTTTCAAATGAAGCTAAAAAAAAAAAATCAAACATGCTCCATTATGAATGAAAATCATTAAACAAAGTTGAATGAGAAGATAGGCTATTTGTCCCAAGTACTTGTCTCATCACAATTATTAGAATATGCAAACAACATATCCATTTTCTGCCTAAATTTTTATAGCTTGACACTAAGGCTTTATTTGGGATTTCTTTCTTATTGTTTCTTAAAGCAGCATTTTTAGTACAAAAAATTTAATTTGAGTACTAAAAATGTGCTTTAAGAAGCACTAAGAAAGTCGTCCTAGGCTTCATTTGGGATAGCTTTTGGTCATTTATTTTTTCTACTTTTAATAAATTTTTATACTAAAAAACTGTTGTGCAAAGCAATAAGAAGTTGTCTCAAATGAAGCTTAAGATAATCATTGTGAAAGCCTTAACAAATATAAGGAGTAAATTGACCGGTTTGTAAACATATATCAACAAACTATATTTGCAACACTAATTGACTTCTCTTCACCATCGTAATGCTCTATAGCCCTAATGAATTAGAAGTTTATAATATTGGATGTAATATGTAATTGAATAGAACAATGCACAACTTATACATAGTTGTGTTGGAATGAAATGTTGCATCCATTCAATGGAAACACAAAAGCATAGCACAACACAACAACAAAATAATGCAATACAATCAAACAAAACAGAAGAAATAAATAAATATATAGCTCGAAAATAGGTTTTGCATGAGAATAGTGGAGATGCTTCTTCCACCCACCACTACTAGCCACCTCTAGTTTGATAAGGATATAATAATAGTGCACATGCTAATGTTGCTAATTTTATCAAATTATACAGTTTTCACTCTCTTCTTCTTCTCAATTGAACCCTAATGCAAGTGGCTATACTCTTCCTCAGTGGTACCTACCTGACACAATGGAACTTAAAAAAGTTGGTGAAATTATTCGTCCTCATTAATTGTACTGCCATTAGCAATATTGCCGCCACTACCATCTTTATTGTCATAGATCATTTAGGGTGTCAAAAGGCGAGTTCCAGTTGGATGGTATATTAGATAAATGTCTAAGATTTATGGATTGTGTGTTAAAAGAAAATAATGAGGTATTGGCTACGAATGATACAAAAGTACATATACTCAATGGAAAAATAGGTAAGACGATAAAGTAGGCAAGAGCATAATTATACTGGGCGGAGAGCTTAGCGTGATCCTAAGGAGGTCCAACCTCAATCAAAACCACTAAACTATCGAAACAGCAAAACCATGCTTGAGTTTACTCAAACTCCACTCATTTATACCCCTAATCAAAAGGAGCTTAACATCCTATCATTAATCAAAATAAGTGTTGATGATTCATAATCTTGTGTTGATTAATCAAGAACAAACAATTAATTGCGATATAATTAAAAAATTAGAATTTCAATACTCTTTAGTAAATTAATAATATATTGATACAATAGTATCTATATTCAAATAATAATGGAAACTAATAAAGGGAAGGCATAATAAATAAATATATGGTTAATAATGAGTATATATTATAATAATAATGACTATAGATTCATACTATAAATATTAATTACATGTTCTAATATTTTTATAATTAATTAATCTCTAATAAATATTATGTCATATACAAAATCCTAAAGAACACAAATGCTCCCTCAATCACTTTTGATAACTTTATGAAATTTGCATGAAGATATACTTAAAAATTTATCACTTATCAATTTGATTATAAATTTCATAAAATAATTATTTTACTAATAATATATAATTATCTTAAGTTTTTAATATTTTTACATATATTTCACTACATCTGAAATCATTATATTTGAATTTATCTAAGAAAATCAAAGCTATAAATATTTCTCTCTCTCTCTCTCTCTCTCTCTCTATGGCTGCTATAGCACCCAAGACCCCCTTCCGGCGAAGGACGCAAGCTCGATCTTTGGAGGTTTACGAAGAAGCTCGCATTGATGCGATCGCCTGCAATAAGTGCCATTCCGGTGACTGTGCCGACGAGCTCATCCTCTGCGACGGGTGCGATATTGGGTTCCACCTCTTCTGTCTCCGCCCGATCCTCGCTTGCGTGCCCTACGGCTCTTGGTTCTGCCCTTCTTGCTCTTCCAACAAGAATCCCAAGCGTAGTTCTCTCACCATTTCTATATTGAACACTTCTGTGCATCCTTCTATTTTCTCAGAATGATCTGTGTGTTTCTTGATTGCATTGCAGCGTTTCCCCTGATCCAGACGAAGATCGTCGATTTCTTCCGGATCCAGAGATCTACGGGCTTTGAGAAGCCAGAGAGCCGAAAACGGAAGAAGCGGCAAGGAGTTATAGTGGTGGCGAAAAAGAAAAGGAAGATGCTGCCCTACAGCCCGAGTGAGAGCTCAGAAAGAAGAATGGAACAAATGGCTTCTCTTGCCACGGCATTGACGACAACGGGTGCCGTCTTCAGCGACAAACTAACTTATTGTCCTGGAATGGCTCCCAGATCGGCTAATCGTGCTGAACTTGAGCATGGAGGGATGCAGGTAAAGGTTGTTGGACCACTTATTCCGTAGGTGTTCGATCAAATTCCTGAATGGTTTTGTTTATTTCAATGTTCCCAGGTGCTGTCCAAGGAAGACGCTGAAGCATTGAATTTGTGCAAAAGAATGATGGAAAGAGGAGAATGCCCCCCTCTATTGGTTGTTTTTGATCCTTGTGAAGGGTAGGTTATCTTTGAATTGATTTGCAATAAGAGCTTGTGATAGGATATTTCCTTTTTATATCTTTAACATATTTATCGAATTTATCCCAAAGAAAAAAAAATTTAAGTCTCTAAAATATTTTTTGACATTGACAAAAAATAAGTTAAATTGTGTTTAAAGACTACCAAAAAATAGGATAACAAATAGTAAAGGTATAAGTAAGTTGAATTGTCTTGTTAGTGTGTTTGAACTCAACTCATTAACAAGTTCACAAGTTTAACTTTTCAAGCCACAGAGTTCATGCTCGAACATGTACTTGTGCTCATATATTGTACGAGCTTGAGTTTAGCCTAATTTGATTATTAAGTTTGTTGACCCACTTATTTAAAGTAAAATATATTTCAAAATTAATTTTAGAATAATATAATAAAATATATACTAAATATTTTTAATTATTTCTTTAGTTAAGCTTGAGCTTTTCAGATGAATCGAGTAATTGAAATGAGCTTGGGTAATCTAGTAGAGTTTATGTTTAATAATTTTTTAAAAGGTTAGCTTGAGCCTTTCAAACAAATTTGAGTAATCTGGTCGAGCTCAAGCTAATAATTTTCAAAGGAGTTGTTTGAGTTATAATCTCGAGTCGAGCTCAAGCCTAGTAAGAATTTTCTGGTCAAGTCTACCTCGGTCAAACTATCAAATCACTAATCTCTCCTTCTTTCGATTCATTGCCCGGTTCGATTTTGTGGTATTTAAATGCATAAGAATTTTGTGGTATTTATTTAAATTTCACTAGTTAGATTTTGCTATTAATGTTTATTTACTTTTTAATGACAATTAGAAGAGTATGTAATCCTATTTTATGTTAGATTTGTAGGAATGCAAGCTATTCTTTTTTCAAAAAATTCGTTTGTTATTCTTAATCATGAGAACTATTTATTTAAATATGAATCTATAATCTGAACGGACTTTTGAATTTGGTATCGTATGATTGCAGGTTTACAGTAGAGGCTGATAAGTTCATCAAGGATCTAACAATAATCACTGAATATGTTGGTGATGTTGATTTCTTAAAGAACAGGAAGCATGACGATGGAGACAGTATGATGACTTTGCTCTCAGCTAAGAATCCATCAAGAAGTCTTGTAATTTGCCCTGATAAGCACAGCAACATCGCTCGTTACATCAATGGAATCAACAATTACACACAGTAATCAAATTTCTATCTGTTTACTTTGGATTATACATTTGTTATGGCTGCATTTGGGGCAGCTTTTTTACTGCTTCTAAAAGCAGTTTTTTAGTAAAAAATTAAAATTTTTTACTAGAAGGCTGTTTTAAGAAGCAGCAAAAAAGTCATCCCAAACGAAACCTATGTTTTGCAACGAAACCTATGTTTTGGTGATTCTTATAAGATATGATTTTTTTTTTTTTTTTGGCAATCAGGGAAGGGAAGAAGAAGCAAAATCTGAAATGTGTGAGGTATGATGTTGATTGCGAGTGCAGGGTTCTGCTTGTTGCTAATAGAGATATTTCTAAAGGTGAGAGATTATACTATGATTACAACGGTCATGAACAGGAGTACCCTACACATCATTTTGTTTAGGGGAAAAAAACATTTTGTTCACTAATTTGAGCATGTTATATGGAAAGCAAAATGCTATTTTTTCATGCTGTATTGGGGGATTCTTGACCCAATTGGGCCAATAATGCCCTTTGATCTTTGAAAGCAACCTTTTTAATTTGTTGAGTCTTGAATTCTAATCATCATTTTAAAGAAAGGGGTTGCATTTTTTTTATCTTTTTTGCTTTTTTTTTTGTGCTTGATAATTTTATTATTTCTCCTTTAGTCAAATCATAATAAATGATTTTGTTCTCTTTTTTATGTTATTTGCACATTAATACTTATCTATTAGGAGAAATTATTGTGTACACAATCCGAACGTGTTCGGATGTGTGTACACACTGCTTATTTTGTTGCGTATTTTTTTAGACATAATTTTTTCGTGGTAAATAATTAGCAAATAAATAATACTCACTAAATACACAAAAAATACGCAAAAAATATGTAGAAAACATAATGTATCAAAAAATACGCAGTGAAATAAGCAATAAATATGCAGCATTTGAACACAATTTTGCGTTTGGATTGCGTACATAATAATTTCTCATCTATTAGAGGGATATTTTTCTTTCATCATAAAACCAGTGAGTGGTCGTTTGAACACTATTTATTCAAGTACTATTTATAAGAAATCCTCTCTATTATAAGGAAAGTTTTAACCTACCGTGCTCTATTCCCCTCGAGCGACACTGCCTCTTAAGTGAGGCCCAATCAAGTGTGGAACAAGGGATTTTTTGGGTGGGTGCATCTTCTAGGTCAACTAAGGATTAGTTAAGCTGCCAAACGCCTTTTCGAGGGTGGCAGCGGATGGATATCCCGTATCCAAAAAAAAGAAAAACTTTTCACAATGTATAGCAGCACTAAAGGTTTTTTCTTTCCTTCTCTTTATAATGACAATGTCAACTCTATGCATCAAATTGGAGAGATCTCCAATCTTGCTCTTCAAATGATTAGGTTAGTCTAAGCCATTAGGCCAATTAGTTTAGATTATTATCCAATAATTAATGTTTCCTACCAAAAGCTAGATCACCTTTTTGTTTACCTCCTCAAGCCTAAGCTGGCATGTCCTCATGCTTATCAATGGGCAATCATTAAAGTTAATCATCCTTTTTATTTAGATAACTCACATTCACTAGAATCCTAAGCCCTACAAATTATGAAGGAATGATCTCTTGTAAATTTTAAATGTACAAAGCTTAATATGTATAAGAGGATAATTAATTTAGGCTTTGTTTGAGATAGTTTTTTTATTGTTTTTTAAAATATTTTTTTAATACAGTTTTTTTGAATTAATATTTTTGTACTAAAAGATTGTTTTAAAAATCATTAAGAAAGTTATCTAAATAAAGCCTCTGATTGGAACAATTTTATATTGCTTTCTAAAATGACTTTTTGGTACAAAAATTTTTAATTTGAGAAATTTTTATATTAAAAAACTATTTAGAAAGCAATAAGAAAGTTGTCTTAAATGAAACTTAAAGTTATTATCAAGAACTTTTTTGACTCTATAGTTGAATTCTTGCAAAAAATGTTAGAATATAACAATGTTTATGTGATCATATTTAATTCTTACCATTAGATGTATATAATAATAGAAACATTTCCCAAGGTGAGAAGGGAAAGACAAATGGTTGTCCCAAGATGGCTATAGAAACAACTATTTGTCTTTCCTCAAGATGACCATTTGTAAGGAGGGAATGATCATAATAATAGGTAGAATTATCTCACCTTTCTCATCTTCTATGGTAGCTTATAATAAGATTTCAAAAGATCTCTAAATCTAATCTCTTTCATGATCATGGTTCATATTCATGAAGAGAAAGAAGGTTTATGATAAAAGAAATAAAAGTTCTAACTCTATCATAATGATCATAGTAAATGATTATTGAATTTTGATAGTGTCATTTAGAAGAATTTTTATATAGCCATCACATTAACAAACAACTAATGATTGAACCCTTAATAGTCTAAGTGTCATTTAAGTGATTAATGATGTTATCATTGGTGGAATTAATGTTGAAGCTACTATTGTGATAAGTAAAAAAAGTTAAACTCTTAAATAGAGATGTATTTTTGTGTAGTAGTTGGAATTTCATTTAAGAAATTTCACAATTAAGCGTGCTTTTTCAGAAAAAATCTTGGGATAAGTGACCTTTTGAGATTATCAAGATGACAAAATCGTGAGACCCTCAGGTTAAAGCGAATAATATTTTAATATTTAAGAATTTGGGCTGTTACTAATGGTATCAGAATAATACATTAGGCGAAAGATAGGAATTAAGTGTCATACAAAACAAAGTGTTGTACCATGGGAGCCATCTTTTGAAACTTGTATGAGATGTGGTCATCACTTGAACTTGTAAAGAATATCTCTAGAATCTTAATTGTATGTTGGATGTTTTTAGAATAAAGTTGCTCAAAAGGATGTGAGTTACTTAAGTTAGGGAGATTATGAAATCTCTTTAAAAAAAAAACTAAACTCTTAAATATCGAAATGCTTTTTGATGTAATGATTACAATTTTATTTAAAAAACTTTACAGTTAAACGTGCTCATCTTGAAGAAATTTTGGGATAGGTGACCTTCTGGAAAGTTATTATACGAACATGATTAAATCGTGAGGCCTTTAGGTAAAAGTTGATAATATCTTGATAGTTAAAAGTTTGGGTTGTTACCACTATGAAGATCTCTCAATCTATCACAACATGTATGAACATATCATGACGGTTAAAAAGTGATAAACCACCATGTAATGCTATATTGGTTAGAAGTATCAATTTTATGAGAATATTTTTTTATATATATAATTGATCATAAAATTAGGGTTCTATGCTATATGATAGATCTCTCATCTTCTTCTCTATAGAGACATAAAAAAAAAATCATTTCAGTTGTTACACATATACACATATGACACACCATTAAATATAAATTAAGCTAAAATATCTTATTAGTTGTGATCCTAAAAACAATATTAAAATCATCACTCTCTCTCAAACAATTACATTTATTATTGATTGATTCATGTGAATACAAGGGGACTTGATCACATGATTTGGAGAAGCTCCTAGTTTATAAGGCACGTGATTCTTTTTTTCTTTTTTACATTAAGAATTATTTTATTGCAAGTCATTCACTTTTTATTGTCAAATTCCTTTGCATCGTATTTGTTTTATTATAGGGCGTCTTTCTGTAAATGAGCTGTGACAGCCGGCATCATTAATGACAGAAATATACTGAGGTAATCTCATGACAAGAAATATATATAAAATGTAAGTGGCTGCTAATGGTTCACAATCAGGTGATTTATATAAATATCTTATATTTCACATATATTTATTTATCTAAGATTTAGAATTTTAAGAATATGGACTTTTTTAAAATGAAGCATATTGTTTATGAAAATGTTTTTATATAATTAAAATATTATTTAAAAAAAAAATAAAATTTAGATAATAGATATGTAAATAAAAAATTATATGGTAAGGGTTAATTAAATTATTAAAGGATTATCTCCATGCATCCAGCCTGTTATAAATTCTGTCCCAAATAATTAATTCAATTAATTTGGGCTGAATAGGAAAAAAAATGAATTGGTCGGCTGCTTTATCAAATTTATATTTTCAAATTAATTTTGAAATAAGTATATATATATATGCTAAGTTTTTATTTCATTTGTTTTAAAATTAAGAGTACAAAATACAACAATATATGAAAAAAATATAGTTTAAAAAGAATACAGTATATTTGAAATATTTATGAATTGTTATGATAATTGTAAAATAAATGATGATTTTCTTTGTTTTTTAGCTTGAATTAAAATGAATATAGCTTAAAGTTCTAAATGGTAGTGGTTGGTGGCTTAAAAAATCAATATGCATGTTCAGTTAAATCAATCTAATCAATAACATTCAGTCTCATTAATGAGCATTTATCTTGTAAGGATCAAAATGACAAAAATCATTATAATGAATTTAAGAATCGATAATAAGCATGAGGATCAGTAAATCATTAAAGCAGTGATGTATAAATCAATCTATCAGTGTTATTAATATATGCATGCATCAATGTATGATTGAGCAAGACATGACATTCAGTTTTAATGTAGTGTTTTCAATATCTTTTATCCTAATTGCTTCGTATTTGATCAACAATCATATCAATTATAACTTATTAAATTAATCAATTATGATTAAGATGGCTTCATTAAATTAATAAAGAGTTGTCACTCTTTGCTCATTGGTGTAATCAATCATCAGTTACAGGTTATAACTAGGATAACAATACAAATCATCTTTAAAGAAAAACATATCGGCCCACCCTCCTATGCAGGGTATCACGTTTTAACAATCAAGCTGAATTAATTATAGTATTGAAAGCTAGCCTTCCTTGCTTTTATTGCCAATGCCACATTCATTAATATGAAATATAATTTGATACGCTGAAATGTTATCCAAAATGCAATATCTATAAAATGAAATGAAATCTATATATTATCTTATAGTTGCAAAAAATCATAACTTTCATTAAACCAAGTAGATATTGATAATATTATAGTTAAAATGTTCATAAAATTTCATATCTATTGTGTACAAAAAGTTACACGGTAAAAGCTCGATGAATAAGAAGATAATATATTTTTTTCGATTTAGGAAAGAAGAAGTCTTTCAAACTCAAAATCATTGAAAGCTAAAAATGAGATTTAAGTTACTTATAAACATCAGAAAAACTTTATGAACAAAATCAACAGAATGAAAATGCCTTAAATTCACTTCTATATCCTCCCTCTCCCTTTCATTCTTTTTATGCAAGCCAACCGAATGAGTGAGGGAGAGGCAGTGGAAAGAATTATATATATATATATATATATATATATTGTTATTGGCTTAGCTCTGCAGCGCTCAGACTCAGTGCTGCATGTCAAATTCAGGAGTAGAGACAGAAACTCCGCATTAGCAATTTTTGGCATCGCTGTGCTCTCTACCCTAGCGCCACAACATTCCAGAGCACAACACCACTGCACACTAGTTCAAACAGAAATTCAATTTTTTTCGACACATTTCGTTTTCGGGTTAT